TAGGGATTGTGTGGGATCGAGAGACGATGTATATTCCTCCACCTCCTCCTCTGACAGCTCCTTTTCTTCCTCCTCCCTCTCTTCTTCTCTGCTCTCGTGTCGGCCCCTGTGGCACCTCAGCTGTTCTTCCGCATGTTTTAGGGGGTCGTCTTCATCCTCAGATATCTGAGAGCTATCAGAGATAACTTCAGAGGCAGCAGTGGCGTACCCGCTTGTTACTTCCTCTCTTCTGACAGCTTGTGAGACAGAAACAGGAAGCTGAGGGCTGGTTTTCAACATGTCGACTTCCTGTGTGACGTCAAACGCAGCCATGGATGTCTGCGCTGCAGTGTCTTCCTGTCCCCTCTCAGCTTCAACCATCCTCTTCCGCATGTGAGCTGCAGCTTCCCACTCTTGCTCTATTTCAGTTTCCCCCTTGTCCCCAGCTGTTTGAGTATCATTGATCTCTGCAGCCTCGCTCCCGTCTCCATCCTGTGTCTCTCTTTGTCTCAACTTCTCCAGCTCTCTTTGTCGAATTTTCTCTCGCAGGGACTCGATACGGCTCAAGGGCTTTCCGATCCTCCAGCTATCCCTCCTCTCGACCCCTTGTCCTCCTTCCCAGTCTTGCCCCTCGTCGCCTTGACCTACAGCCTTTTTTTTCTCCACCATTTCCTCCGCAACATAAAACACGGTCCTGGGGATCTGAATCTCGAGGGGACCTGAAGGGATTCCTATAGGTGTGATCCTTTTTGGAGATCTGGGTGTTACATCATGAATGAGACCTTCCGATCCGACGTCGCTGTAATGTTGTCCTTCTTGTTTGCAGTCTTTGGCCAGTTCGTGAGCAGCCTTGTAAGCCCTCTCTCCCTTCTCGTTGCTATAAACAGTTGTGTCTCCTATTTTTTCTATTTTACTGATAAGATCCTCTGTGTGCTGGGACAAAACAGAATGTGTTAGGAAGAGTCCTCGTGGTCCGGTACCACTCCACTCTGGCCCTCTGTGGGGGTCTCTGGCCCTATCTGTGATTGCACAGAGTAGACTGGAGCACTCTGTGAAGGCTGATTCCTGCCTGTAGTGACTCTCAGCAGCAGGGCATGGATTTGCTGTGTCTGCCGTGTTCTGCACAGTTTCAATATTGATTGTGCTTTCAAATCCATCTTCTCCCAGAAAATCAGACCCCTTTTTGTCGCTAACTTGTGCCTCGACCTGTCCTCCTGCTTCTGGATCTTTCTCCATGCTCAGCTCCCTTTCCAAACTTTTCTCACCTGTCAGCCGCTTCACGTCTCTCTCAGCTCTTGCTTTCCCATCCTGCCTGATTGGCACTCTTCTGGCAAATGAGATTCCCTCTGTGTTTTTGACAGAGGCAACTGTGAACCCCTCGTCTCCATCTGCATCACTTGCCTTCTCTGCAGCCCTCTTATCAACAGGCTCGACTTTCTTAACCTCACTCCTGTTTTGGATGTAGGTACTCATTTCTGCCTCATTTCTGTCCTGCATGGACCCCCCCTTTTCCCCCTCATTTTTAACATGTCCATCTCTATGCTTTCCAAACCTGTCTTTATCTAAAAGCCGTGCACACCCCATTTTAATCTTTGCTGTGGTTTCCCTCCCTAAACCTGCCAGGTCTACCCATGGTGCCATGCTCTTGTCTGAATATATCCTCTCACGCAGTTTTCTCTCAAAACACGATTCGTCACCTAAACCATTCTCCTTAGCACAGATGACTCGATCAGAGAAGCTTAAAGAGCGCTTTGGCGCTCCTTTCATTAGCATATTCCTCCCGTCTGCCTTCCTCTCCTCAGATTGTTGGTCATCTTCATCTCCTGAGTATTTTCTCCTCCCATGTCGGAGGAAGTTATCAGAACTTTTGGACCGAGACGGCGGCTTGGGGAGCTCTCCGAATTTACTCAGCAGCTGGCTAACCCTCCCTCCTTTCTCGACAAACACATTATCATCCAAGCTTTCCTTTCTGTCTTCTTTGATAACTGTTGCCTGGCCCCATGGTCTTTCTTTCTCCTTAAGAGACTCTTTCTCTTTTTCTCTTAGCCAGGACATGTCTGTTCTGAGCTCCCTGCCGATACTCTCCCTCCTTACATCCATGCTGCACTTCATCTCTCCATCCTCTCTCCCTTTTCCTCCTGTATTCCTCTCCTCAGGGCTCGCAGAGGGCTTTATGATTAGAACCTCAGAGGCTCGGATCTCGGTGACGCTCCCTCCTCCGGCCAGGATCTCCCTCAGGTCCATCTTCATCCCTCGCTTCCCCTGGTTGTCCTCCTCAGGCCTCTCCCTCTCCGCCTCCCTCCATCTCCCCCTTCTCTCATCGCTGCCTTTCCTGTCCTGTTCGATGATGATGATGTTGTCGGCTCGGATGGTTCGAAGACCAGGGACGAGGGGAGAAAACGAACCAGACGGTGGATCTGTTTCTTTTTCCTCCTCGTCTTTTCTAACTTTGAGCATTTCCCTCTCCCTCATTACATCTTTAACTGACTCTTTCCATTGGCTTTGACTTTTATCTTTTTCCAATCTCTCCCTGCTATTCTCTCGTTCTCTTCCTTGACTCCTGTCCCTGCTTCTCTCTTTTTCTCGTCCTTCACTCAAATCTCTGAATCTCTCTATTTTCAGCTCTATACCTCTTTCTCTTCCTGACTCCCCATCTTGACCCTTGGGGCTTGATTTTTCTTTCTCCTTCTCCTTAATCTCTGGCTCGTTCCCTACATCTGCATCCCTGCCCTTCCTCCATGCACTCTGCGTGCGAATAAATGGGTTTTCATGGACTGGAACTATAGTTTCCAGAGACACCTGACTCACTGATTTGGGGTCTGCATCCAGCCATTGCCCCGGATCTGGACTGAGTGATGGTTCGCTTCCCAGATTAACGGTTACAGAGCTGTCCGTGTCACTCAGACCATCAGAAGGAGATCTGACATCCACCTGCAGGAGACAGGCGTCTCTCTCCTTCTCCTTGTCACCCACACTCTCCTGCTTGGCCTTCCTCCGCTGGATGATCCCCCGCTTCCAGGCAGGCATGCTGGCGAGCTTCTCCTCCTCCTCTTTTTCCCTTCTCTCTCGCTCCTCCTCCTCTCGCCTCTTTTTCTCCAGCAGGAGCTGCTTCCATTCCGGCAGAGAGGAGACAGACATAACAGAAAAAGTGCAACTTTTTGGACAAAATAGTTGGTGCTGGTCCTCTTTGAAGCCTCTGGGACAGGTCTGTAAAAACAGGAAATGATAAAGTAAAATCACTTCTCACTCACAATCATGTTAAATAGAGGTGTGCATCACCCATAACAGAAGTTTTGGCCTGTCAGTAAGTTCAAGTTACTATTAGTAACATTTAAGCATTTAGGGATATGTAAATCAATGCACTATCACAGGGTGATACATCATTTGTCGATACTTTCCAGCAGTCCTAGTTTATCTGTTGTCCACTACGTTCACACAAGATAATATTATCATCTTAATCAAATTAACTTGCAGCACATTATGCACATGTAGCCTCACAGACAAACATTTTTTCATATTCAGCACTACTTCATATTGCTGACGAAAATCTTAAATTAAACTCACCAAAACCCCCAGTTTTTACGAAGATGTTATCAAATCCGCTTCGACTTTACGGTTGTCATGTCCACTTGTGCGTCTTGGCTGTGCGTAATGCGCTCCACTCCTCGACGGAAAATCCTCCTTCGCCAATAACTGACAGACTAATCTATGCTGTCAAAACGGAGGGCTTAAAAACTCTGTACGACCCAGTCAAATCACCCCGCAACCTAACTGCGCATCAGAGCATGAAAACGCCTCCGTCGTCCGTATAGTAGTAAATATTTCCAGCTTCGGAGGCGCAGCACTGTAATCCGATAATTACATTAAATTCCGTCAGGAGTGTTTAGTGGCACACACCATATTGTCGGACCTAAGAAAAGGCGTTTAAAGAACATAGCCGCCTGCCCGGGCACCAACCCCCCACCCCTCCTTCCCCTCCCTAGTCTCATCCCTCCTGCCCGCAGGGCTAATTGGAAAAGAAGTGGAGGGAGGGAGGGGTGGAGGGGGATGCGGCTGTGAAACGGGCTGTGGTGTCAGCAGGGCAGAGCTGCAGTTCACCTGAGTTTGACCGGGCATCATCAAACTCCCGCATATGACATGTATTTACTTTACTTTCTACTTTACTATTTTCAGCCCCGATTGTTTGCATCTTTCACGCCAGGACGTGGCAGCGGGAAGAAGTAGTAGTAGTTTACCACACTGTAAAAAAAAATATTCTGTTTACAAGTAAAGGTTTGGTTTCAAAATCTTACTTAGGTAAATGTACAAAAGTAAAATGTTGCTGTTGTTAAATATTATATTATCATATTTGCTGATTATTACAGATGCGTTTTAATGTTGTAGCGTGTCAGGAAACAGCTCATTCTAGCTAAATTACATTTTGTTGGGTGTTTAATTTGTAATAATGGTCACTGTTGGTTATTATCTACATCTTATCTCTTGAAGACTTCCTGGTGCTGTTGAATTGTACTGCTTTTTCTAATATTTCAAATATTTTTTAATATTTGGTAGACTATCTAACACAAACACCTCATGTATAATGCAATGCCATTCAGCAGCACCACAAACTACATCCTCCAAAATGAAAGCAGAGTTGAAACAACACCTCTGAATATGAACATTTTTATTGCAGAGCTGCTGTATTAGGCCATTTTAATTTGCTAATAAACTGGCAACTGAGTGTATTTTCATCCATTTTTTATCTTAAATGAACAAATTAATTTCAAGACCTCAAATTTCAATTGTGTTTTCGGTATTTAGGCCTAGTATTTATATTTCCAGTTGGATTTTCAATTTCAGTGACCCTCTGTTGCCTTGACAGCCACTAAAACATCTGTAAAAAAAGAACAAAAAAAACATAGTTTAATATAAAAGTGCAAATAAACCAAAGGCAGATTCTCAAAGTTAAAAATAAGCAACCTGATAAAAAAAAACAAATAGAAAGAAGAAATAAACATGTCACACACCTACTGTATACAGCTTATTACATTTATTCAACACAACTTGAAAATAGTTGTTATCATTGTCTTTAGAGTTACATCTACTATCTGCCCACAATACATGTAATCATACAGTACTTTGAAGTTTGAGACTCTGTGACATATTTAGGAAAATGCAGATCGCTCTGCCAATAAGCTGTAAGACTCTGACATGAGTTACTTGGATTATCAAGTAAGATGAAATGGGAAAATCATGACATACCACAATTTCAAGTGGCTTACAATTAGTCTGACATTACTGCAAATGCACCCACAACATAAGCAAGAGAGGAAATACATTCAAAATCTGAGAAATGCCACTAGACTTGTTTTCATTACAGCTACAAGTTGTGGAAAAATCAAGTTGTGTTTTTGTGCTTTTGCCAGTGTGAAATCTTAACATTACATTCTCCTCCAAGAACAATTAAATTTGAAATCAGTATGCTGAGAAATACAGAATAAATGCACTTGGCACATGGAATTTAACAGCCTATAAAAAATATACTCTGATAAACTAAAACATATCCAGCATAATTAAAAAAAAAAAAAAATATCTGGAGGGTTTCATTGCAAAATGTCCCTTTCATTATGTATCTTGTTAACAATTTAAGAAAAAAAAAACCTAATATGATCCGCATCAAGTTGTTTACTATTGGCAGATAGTATAAACTTATTGGATTATTTAAACTCCCAAATCTCAGTATTAGCTGCAGAAATGTGGTATTGGTCAAGCTACACAAAAGATCCATTTTGTATGAATCTTTCCTCTTAAATTTCATCTGAAGATAGAAATATCAATAAAAATATAACTTTTACATTAAGCTGGCTCAGAAATGTAACAGTAATACCAGCCAGTGATAATCATAATTAGTTGAGGAGGTGTTCATGTTTTCAAATGGAATACGATCTCCTTTTGTAATAAAACTCTCCCTTTCTAAAACAATATATGCAGTGAAAAGAAAATGTAAAAAAAATGTAAAAAAATACAGCGTCAAGTTGCAAAGAATTCAGTTCAAGTGTTGTCGTTGGCCATTAGTAGAGCAGGCTTGTACAACAAGATCACAGAGGCTCTGTTGAAGTTAGTTTTGGAACAATATCTCTGGTTAATTTTAAGACAGCAGTGAGCTTCACATCTCGGCAGTTTGAACACCTTCTCTTCACTTCTCCTTGTGGTTGCTGCTGTTGTCCCTGCCGGTGGTGTCGGCGATGCCCCGGTGTGGCTCGGCAAGGAGCTGCATCTTGCTGTTAATCTGGATGCAGAGGTAGGCTAAATCCTGTTTGTCCAGAGAGTGTGCCAGGGCCAGGTAGGCCGACAGAGTCCCCGCCAGCAGGAGCCTGTCCAGGGACAAGGCCGGCAGGAGCCACAACACGACGCCCAGCTCCAGGCAAACCGGGTGGCGGAGGTGAGACAGGAAGCGCTGGGCGTGGGGTGACTTGTGAGACAGGGGGTCTCCTAAACCGAGACACTCGTAATACACCTGAGAGAGAAGAGGGGGGAGGAGGGAGGAGCGCAGGGTGAGACAGTATGAGACAAATTAGGTTAAGCAGCAGCGCCAATAATGACTCACCTCTAAAATGTTTACGTAACATTTTAGAGGTTTTCATAATCACTGTCACAGATTACCCAGTCCCTGTTACGCACAATTAGATCTTCTTGTATATGTCATGATGCTATTTTGGCATCAAATCCAAATGAGGATATTAATCCTTTTTCTTGAAGGATGGGGACTGAGCGAGCTGCTGAATTAACTGAAATGCTGATCCTATTGATGTTTTCATCTGAGCCCAAATGAGGTTCAACTGCTATTGGTGAAGTTCAATTCTGACAACCAGCCACTTTAAAAAGTCTTGTTTCTGTAACCAGAGATGTGGCTTAATATTCACAACACAATTAAAAGTAGGCTAAGAGCCCTGCATTTAAATTCTTACTTAAGTAAAAGCTTGTCAGTATAACCAGCAAGTATTAAAACTAAAAGCACTCAATGGGGAAAAATGGCCCTTGAAAACCTCAATTATGTTTTTATCTGCAATTTTGACATTTTTCATTATTACCCTTATAAATAAAGTAGTAGTGCTGAATAAATAATTTGACTGACTAATTAGACTGTTTCTTGTATCTAACCATGTATCTAAGAGGCTCTATTGGGGTTTGTGGGAGCAATCCTGTTGTTAAGATCAGCTGCAGGCCCATCATCACGGTCCTTTACTGTTACTGAGGATGTCAGACAAGCTGAGCCTGTACAGTCTTTTCAAGCGGTTTCAACTGAGAATATGATCTGCAACACTGACATATAGCATGTTTTATTGTGTGTTGTAAGTATTATACATTATACGTTATAAATGCTTGTAATGTACAAATTAAAACAATTTTTTTAAAAACAGTTTACCATAGTGTTTTAACAGTTTCACTATTGGGTTAAAAGAAATGACTGATACAAATAAACCTTCAGTACTATCACAAAAATTCAAATTACCAAGAAAAAAAGTCCCTTCAAGTAAATAAAAAAGAACAAAAGGTGGAACTACTGATGACCTTTTTTCATTTGTTGTTTAACATTTAAAGTAATAAGACATCTGGTGGCCTACTGTAATAACAACATAAATGGTTTGAGTCAAGTGATTACTGTCAAAAACAGGCAAAAGTGCCCACAAATGTTTAAAACAATATGCTGTTAAAATGTAATTCTAATAAAATCTAATATCCCACTAATGAAGCCCTGGTTACCTGTTTGATGCCCAGCAGTTCTGGGTAATCAACAAGCATGAGGATGCTGCAGATGATGGCCCAGCAGAGGAAGTGCAGAGAGAAGCAGAGCAGAGGGAACCAGATACTCCAGGGTGCATGACGCACTGACCACAGACAGGGGGCGCTAGTCACAGGCTGCCAGTACCTCATCATGATCTAACATTGGAGAAAAGAAGAATAATGTTGCAGAATGTAATAATGAAGCATATGTGGTGCTATATAGAAGTTTATTATTACATAATGATTGTAACCAATGACTTATTGTTCGCTATGGCAATAAAAGCAGCATTTACATACTGTGAGAGTCTGTTGCTGTACCTGGAGTGCCAGTGCAGTAGTGAAGCAGTATGCTGTCCTGTTCAGTGCCCCAAGCACCGACTGTAGGGCCTGTTTGACAGGTGACCAGGAGAGCAGACTGTGCTGTGTGGTGAAGAGAGCCAGCAGTCCCAGATCGACAACAAGAGACCTGAGGACAGAGCTGTCCTGCAGGGCCACCGACCACGGTATGGAGTCTTAGGTGTGGGCAAACGATGCGAACAAGAGGAGAAAGGTGAACATTTTCATGAATTATGTTTGTATTGAGCATGAAAATATTGTCATTATAATCTTTCATGATGTAAAGAATGACAGTACAGCTTCACAAAGTGGCCACTTTTGATTAATTTACTGACTTAGGTCTTTATTCAGGTCTTCCAACTTCACAAAAAAAACTTGAACTAAGTGTTGAAACTGAGCATCAAAATAATGAATCAACATAAAAAAAGAGATTATAGCAATGACCAAAAAGATGAAAGATGAAGCCATAATTCATTAAGCAGCAAAAACTGGTAGCATATATAGTATTATATCAACAGTGTAAACAAACTAGTCCTACTAGTGTAATAGTGTACAATCCATTCATAGCCCAATAACACACTGCTTTTTGGGCCATGAATGGACAACAACTTCTGTTCACAAGCACTCAAGCATTAAACATGCCACAGTAATATACAAGACATACAACCCTCTAAATAGATCTACACCATGGACCCTTTTCACTGTAATGCATGTGAACATTTAGTGCACGTAAGAACCCATTATCACTCTTATTGTGTTGAATTCAAGGAAATTAAATCAAAGTTTAATCAAACTGTTGAAATTTTTCTGAATTTTTCTGCGTGTTCGCTCGACCAAAAGAACGGGTAAGTGACGCGATGAGTTCAGTTTCGACCACAGCGTTCGAAAAAAAATTTCGTACACTGTAGTGAAACTAGCGTAACGGTTTTCGAACACTGTGGGTATGCGCCTAAATAGAATTTGGTTTCGACCAGCTACGTTTTTGAAGACTGTTACAACCGTTACAACATTTTCAGAAGAGTCTACAACAAATTTTGAGGATCCACTTTTTTTTTAGGATAACAGCCTAACAGCACTGGGGCTAAAACGAAATCGACGCCATTATTGTGGATGTAGCCTTAATTTCAGGACCAAATCTGGAGGAAACACACATCGACAGGGAAACAGACTTCCAACTAAAATATTCGGCCCCAACAAAAGCTGAAGTTTAGTGTAAGTAACAATGTACAATTCATATGCAAGTCTCAATAAATGCGACCGTAAACGTCTAATAATAGGTAATAATATTCTAGTTATACAACATTATCATCACCTACTGAGGGGAAAATGACACCTGCATTCAGATAAAGTCCTGAAACAAATCAAAATTAAATACTCATAAGTAAAATACTCCAGTCCAGCAAACAAATGATGTGCTTGTAAAACTATGTGGGTGCCCACTGAAAAATGCTGACTGTTAAACCTATCTGTTATCCCAATACTCGAAAGTAATCTAATTTGACTAGTGAAAAAGATGTTCGCCCAACGTGGGGCTCGAACCCACGACCCTGAGATTAAGAGTCTCATGCTCTACCGACTGAGCTAGCCGGGCGGTAGCTAACGAGAGGAAGTACGTCAGATATCAATTTTGCAGTCACAAAACGAGGGATTGTTGTATTTCATGGGGAGCGAACTTAGGACATTTTACTCACTATAAACCATTACATAATTCATGTTATAAAGCACCTTCCATCATGTTGTTATTACCTTTGTAAAAGCAACGAGTCAAGCCCCGAAAGCCAAAAGTGGTGTCTTACAAACAAACTTATCCTGCCAGTCGTGGCGCCTGCCAGGAGTAGTTACAGAGGCTTACCTTGACACAGTGTTGTCTCCCCGGTGATGTTATGATAAATGGCTCGAAATGATATAAACCGAATAAAGTCTGCACCAGATATGAAAACAAACGCAAAGTTTAGCAGAGACACGGTGCAGAGAGCCCAGCCACGTACCGTGACTGACGCCATTTCAATCAGCGTTTATCTTCATTTGGCAACTTCCACAGTGGTCTCTTCCGGGAGGGGAGTTGGTGGTAGTACCTACTATTGACAGACGGTGTCGGTATAACCAACAGGGGAAAGTACACAAGTTTCTTTTCGGCCAGACTGGGTTTTATTTGTGGATATTTTCATGGACGGTGTATAAGAAAATACACCTCTGGATCCAGACAGGTCTCTCTGTGGTCATTCAGCATGTGTTTTCTTGAGTTGCAGTGTGTTGAGTCTCAGGGTCACCGTACCCTGACCTCTTGGGCCTCTGGACCTATGCTCTGGACCTGTGTCCAGTAGGCCCGTTCAGTAATTCATCTATGGATATTTGGTAGTTTACACTGAAGAGGGCCTACTAAGGACAGGCCCCCTGCATACACTTTATTATTTAACAAGACATTCATTTTTGTACAAAGATAATAGTACAGGAGAAAGAACAGATCTTGACAAGCACAAAAATCCACAGATAAAGCACAGAGAAGTCTTCATCATACTAAAACAAGTAGTAAAGTGTATAAAGTATGAAGTGAAAATGTGGGTCACCAAAATAAAGTACACCGTTAACGTACTTAATCTGATATTCATTGTTTTTCATTATTGGCTGCATGCCTCACAGCTAAAAGGAAATAGATTGCACAAAGGAATACGTTGACTTTGTCTGTTTGCAGTGATTTAATTGCAGATAAGAAATTGTGCAAAGACTCATAAATATACTCATACATTTACAAAGAAAGACTAGCAGAAAAACACAGAAAGGTGTATGTCAGCCTGCAGTTTTCCTTAAATGAGGTTAACCTCACCGCTGTAGCACTCTACATGGTAATTTCTGTTAAATGATACCACTCGAATAGACTCTGTTGACCCCTGCAACGATTAACAAATAGGTGGAAACTGTTACAAACATTTCTCCAAAAACTAATTTGTAAAAATACATCATGTCTTTGTCTATTATTTAAATTCAGTTCCTCACCTCAGTTGGCAATATGGGTGTTCTGCAGGCAGCACAACAGGGAGCCTGGACCCTGAAACCATGAATAAATCTCAATAAAAGGTCACAGAAACTCAAAAACGAACTCACTCTGGGTGTGACTCATCTCATGTGCAGCCTGTCTGGCAGGATTTTGTTTAATCTTTTCTCAGGAGTGTGAGAAATCAAAGGGCTTGGCCCATTGTTTTGAGTGAGTAAGAAACTCACTTGTAGTAGTCGCTGACACAGTAAACCCTGCTGTCCTTGTCTACAGTGAAGGGCTGACCCTCTAGGCTCTGTTTGCAGACGACACAGCGAAAGCAGGATGGATGGTAGGACTTCCCACGAGCCTGCAGGACCTGACAGTGCATAAATCAGATCTTCTTTACACAGTGTGAGAGCATGCACCACATATGCACTCATATTGCTACACATACACACATAGTAAATGAAATCATACTTACCATATCTATGATTAAATGTCCACAGCTGGTACACACTTCAGGGGATGGATGAACTCCAGAGTACTACGGCAAATAACAATAATTGTAGATTGCTGTAACTTCTCTCAAACTGGATACAAATCATATGTTTTCTTTACAGCCATGTTACAACAGAGTATTCTTACCAAAAAGTCATTTTCACAATAGATTCCTCCTGACACTGAATAAAATGGCATGCCAGTGAGCTTTTTATCTAAACAGGAAACAAAGGACAAGGAACAAGGTCAATATGGGGAAATGGCTTATTTTCCTTAATGTGACATTTGATAATATATTGATGATTCAATTTGAAGACCAACCATATTGTAACATATTACTGTACTATGTACAGTTAAATAGTATATCTTTGATTATGTTTTATTTAGTTATCCAAAAGAATTTCGCATTTTCAAAATACAACTAAGCTAAAACACTGTTTCTTGGGGACCATGGACCAAGGCACAAAACAATCAAACAAGAAATACAATCATAAAAACATTTAGATAAACAACATAAAAACATTCAAAGTGCATGAGTTCATCAAATAAAATCTGATTGTAACAAAAGAAAATCATTAAAGGGGCTATTTGTGGTGGTGATTGTTGCTTGACAAGAGCTTCGGCCATTGTTATGCTTACGAAACAAGAGGTGATAATACGCCCTCTGAATGAATGAAAAATACATTTTCCAAGTTCTAATCCTGTGTCCCTATGTTAATTGTTCATTTGTCTCTTGTTACATGTTGCATCTTTTAGAAACAGATTGCTCTTGGTTGCTTTGTTAGGTTAATTCAGTACAGGCTTTTCACAATAAAACTTGCCTCTCTGAGCCAGAAACACCACTCTGATGAACATGAGTTTCGTAGTAATAAACTCTCAAATAATAATGTTAAATTTAGATTTTGTTGCTTTTTTGGTCACGGATATTTAAAGTTATGAAGAAATACAAAAGATTTGAAGTTAGATCTTGAGGGGCTTTAAGATATTTTGGCGGCACAACATTCAACTGAAACATCCACAGCGACAGGACTCACTGCAAATGCTGCAGATGAAACAAGTGTCGTGGAATAAATGTCCCATCGCCCGGCAGGCTCTCCCCGCACCGTACACTGCTTTACTGCATTTCGTACAGCTTCCTGAATATATGCAAAACACAACACAAAGGAGAAACACATACACACAAAAATGGTTGCTGTGAAACCTGACACACACTTCATTCACTGAAAACAAACTGTAACGACTAGCAGCACACTCACACACGTGTTGAATCATGACCCGTTTTCAGCCCAGAGAGCTGGAATAGTTGACGCCTTAAAACTATGCTAGAAAGGTAAGTATTAAGAGTATTCCTGCCTTACCAAAGTAAAGACTGGCACTATAACTTGGGTCCATCTTCTACAGTATTTTTCCCAGCTGTCTTCTCCTGGTGGAGTCTACAGTACAACTGTCTGGGGGTCTAATTTTATGTGCAGTGCAGACAGCTGTAAGAGGAGCTGCTATCTGGGTTTATGGGTGTTGCATTTGGTGCTTTTGGTCTCTCCGGGGGCAACAAGTCTTCAGACCCTCTGACTCCTCCAATGCGGAGTGGGTGGCAACAAGCGAGGTAAACTGGTATATTTCACTCACAGTATTAAGAAACTGCTAGTACTGGATCTGGTATTTCTCATTAAAATGGCTGTTATCACCATCTTAAGCCCTGGGTGTCATTAATGTCACTAAACTCCCAGAATTAGAAGTTATTTCTGTGCTTACAGAAACACACTTTAATTTCTGTCATTCCAGCAACATGGTTTTGATATGGTGGACGAAATAAAGGATGTTCATTCACCAGATTTTCAAAAGCGAAGGGCAAAACTGCATGAAACTCAGGAGTCTCATTCGAGGTCTCAGTCTGTACACTTGAGCGACATTTGGTTGCAATTGGATGAGGCATTCAAGAGTTACAACAGGTTCAGTTGATTCGACCACACTCACAAAAGTGAGAAACAATGCATGTTATCTCAAATCAGACATGTTAGCTCATTTGTCGCATGGTGGCACTATCACTACCATTATTTAGTATTTGAAGAACTGAAGCATGGGGAAGCTGTTCACCAAATTCAGCGTCTCGTAGTCTTGTAGCATTTATAGTTTTAGAGATATGTATCATGTTTCATCAAGTTTCTCTTATTCCCCTATAGAAAACCTTACAAAAAGTTACAGATATCTGCATCAAAAGTCATATCAACATTCTTCTAAATATGCTTCACATTTTGGCTTTGGAGCATGTTTCTAGCAGCAACCATGTAGGGCTGGTTAAGAAAAAACCATCCAGACTTTCATCTCACCTTAAGTGGAAACTGCCGTAGCTTGGTGGGCAAAATAGCACAAAATATCAAATGGGAGGCCTAGAATTTCTTCACTCTGAAGCCATAAAAAAGATTTGTAGATGATAAAATTATACTTCTACTACAGGCTTTGTTACTGCCCTCATGTGGGCTGTTCAGGGCTCTTCACTTAAAAACTTGACCTACAGTCAGACCCGCCCAAATAACTACACAGAAACAAATGCAAATGCTGGTCTTTGTGTGAACCTGCTGGCAGTGCCAAGTGAGCATGCAGGGCTGATGTAACTGAACAGTTCATTGTGTCTTTATTCAAAAAGTTGTCTGTCTTTCTCGTTTAAATTCATACATTTGATCTTTGTTTTGTTCTTTTTCATTTTTCATTGGTCTTACTTTTATTCATGTCTCACATTTTTTTTTACACCATGTAAAATGTATGTAAAAAGAAAAAGAAGAAGAGTAGGAAGAAGACACCAAAGATGACAAAAATGAAAGACGACAAGTATTTCACAATCTTTGAGTTCAATCTAGTATTCATAACACATTTTGAATTATTACTCAAGCTACAATATCTCCAGAGGGATATCTCAGAGTTAAAAGTGCTTTATTAAAAAACAAAACAAACTCTGGTCATTGGTATGAAAACCTGTAGACTCGTGGCACTCCGCAGCACATGTTTGCCTGTTCTGGACATACAGTAACATGGGAGGGGAGGGGAAGTGTGACAGCTGCTGAGTCTTCACTGAGATCCCTTGTTAGGACACAGTGAAGCTGTCTAAACTCACCACACCGCCCACTCTGCATGCTGTCAGACTGGTTCAGCAAAAAACACTCGGTGTCACTTGTGCTTTGAATAATTGTGTGTGTGTGTGTGTGTGTGTGTGTGTGCTTGTGTTTTGTCTCAAAGACAAAAACATTCAGACAAATGAGAGCTTTTACCCCCCCCCCCTTCATATATCATCATCATATATTGTTTAGTGTTGTGTTTTAGGTGTAGATCAGAAAATGATAAAGTTGAAATAAGGATATGGGGTTAAACTGAGGCTGTGGTCTTTGATTTAGAGCTAATTTTAGGTATAAGGGTAAATCAGTTAGGTGATGGACGTCTGAAGCATTCAAAAATGTAACACAAATGTGTTTGCTAGTGGTCTTGCCCTCAGGTATGTTTCTGTGCAGGAATGTCTGCGTCATGAGGCATGTGGAGGCAGGAGGGAGCCTCTGCAACACAGGAGTGTTATTCACAGTATGGACCTGCTAGCAGACAACAACTATACACTGTTAATCACATTTTCAACATCATTTTACAGAGAAAAATCCAGCTGGCTGGACACAGCCAGATTTTTTGAACATGAACATGTTACATTTGCCCATTTAAACTGTCATTAGTAATATTCCTTTAGGGACCCAATTTAACCTCTCTGTTTGATTATATTAAAGATATAAATATATTAAAATCATTGTATTCAAATCTTACATTCAGTAGTGTTCGATGCATACAAAACTATGAATTATGGGTGGTCAAACACAGAGAAACTTCTGCTTTAAGCTCTGTTTCCACACCCTCCCCTGCCTCATTTTGGGGATACACAGCATCATGCCAACAATCCTTGGCATGTCCGGGTCTGTATAAATAGGGCGCCCATTGTGCCACAGCGAGAGGAGTCACACAGGGACTTATCATTAGTCTTATCAATTCTATATTGCATGTACTAGCTCTGCGTTGTTTCGGCGTGAGGGTAAAACGGCAGGACCTGATCCTCCTCATTCGTCAAGTTTGGACAGGTAACCGTAAACCACCTGTGGTCCACGCCCTCCTGCGCTGTGCTGTTGCACACAGGTAATGTGAAGCAGGAAGTGGCTGTCAATGCCGTCGCTGTTGGTGTAATGCGAGTGGAAATGCATCGGTGTATTTGAGAGATACAAGAGCTGCTTTTTAAGTCCCTGCTTTTAAATTTTTGCATTTAAAAAAAAAAAAAAACAGGAAGATCCACCGTTTTGTGAAGATGCGGCTCTGTGAGACCTGCGCGCTCCTGGGACTTTTATTTTTATCAATCTTCGAGGCATCAGGTGAGAAAATACAGGATGTTTCTGTCTCAGCAGGAAACATATGTTAATTTATTGTTTGGTTAACCGTTGATTTCCCACTTTTCTTCTTGCTTTGTTTATTATTTTTTCCAGTGTTCCATTTCATAGAACGTAGCCTACTGAATCACTATGAAACGTCCTGATATTGAATTGTGGCTTCATTTCAACTTTGTGCCAAATGGATCAGACTGAGATAAGTGCATGCTGTTCATTGAGGTAAAAATTGCTTACACGAAGGCGAATGCAGAGATGCACTCCTGCAAAGCACTCTGGGTAAAAGGAGCTGTGTTTAAAGTGCTATGTCAATAAATCAGAAGATAGCAGGGGACATTAAGGCAACATTACAGCAGAGTTGAAAGGCTGAAGCACATTTTCAGACTCGGTCTGAGCAGAATAACTCTGAGCCCTGACTTCTAGACCTCCATTTTCAAAAGGTTTATGAGGCATTTATGGAGCTTCCTGGAGGCATGAATCCATCATAGCTTCATTAATGATTGACCAGCAATCTGCTGCTGAGCTGTGGATCTGGCGGGCGCTTTATCACATTTTTTTGCTTAAACTCGTTCTCCCAATTTAATTCATTTTTGGCGGCAGAAGTCATCAGCAGGATGGTGAATTTATTCTCCCTCATAGCGTTTGTGGAGTTTATCTCTTTTGCCACTAAATATGACTCTTTGAACCCTGTGACATCCCCAACACACCCACTGTTCTGGCAAGTTCAGGTAGTGAGTTCCTCCTTTATTTTTTATGTCAGTGCAACTTCCCACATGTTTTTAAAAAACATTAGTGTTTTCAGTCAATGCCACAAGAAAACTGCTGAGTTAATGTAAACACCAGTGACATTATGATTTATGAAGGTGCCCTTTTTTTTAAGTTATGAATTTAATTTAAATCCTAGACTATATAGGTAATCCATAAATGATGCTGGACTGCAGAGAAGCTCCAGACAGCCTTGATAGTGGGAAGGCAGGTTTTGTTTAGGGGCTTTAGGGGAAAGTATAATTCAGAACAGGAGATTATGTGACCTTTTAGAAATACATTTATCTTAATGCTGTGTTGCTGTGTTGCAGCAATGAAATACAGTACAATATAGAGGAAGTTATAAAATTCTAAGAAGTACAGGATACTGGAAGAGTCTGTGGAAAGCAGGAGAGTAAATATTTGTATATGGAGTTATTTAGGTTCTTGTGTATGTAAGATTTGTAGTTGTGCAGGCATGTCTATATGGTATGTACATTAGTAAGTAGCTTCTGTTCTGCAATTCCTTGTTACGTTTCAGCCGCTATATACACTGATACAATATCTGCAAAGGTTGTTTTCAGCTGATGTATCCGTCTAGCTCTTGTATGAAAGTAATGAAATAGGAAAGACAATGTTTTTAGTCACTCAGGCTGCACTGAAACCACAACTGGGACTAAAACAAGGGGACAAATATGAAACCAGTGCTGCAATGTACTGTGGGTTCACATCTGCTGATGTATAAAATTACAGAGGAACTAGTTTCATCTGAGATTGTAAAAGGATAAGGCTGCATATGAATAAGTTCTTCAGTAGGAGCACTTTGCATTCACCACAGGAGAGTCTGATATCACAGGAGCAGCAGTTACTCATGGGTTTTAAAAACAACCTCTCCTTCCTGTTCCTGTCCTTACTCTGCGCTTACATGACTCACTTCAATCAGAATCCAATTAATTTGCTTTGGTCTGCCACAATTGCATACATGGGAATAGGTGTGCCTGGAACCAGTGTGTTTGCCCAAGTGTCAACATAAAGCTGTTGGTGTGTGTGTTTGGTCCCTTTTGTGAGCCAAATATTGCTGAGGTGTTGAACTGATTCTTTGAATTGTTATACAGAACAGCTGGACAGTGCTCTACTCAGTGAGAACAAACCGTTCACTTATTGGTTTACTCCCTCCTCTCTGATGAAGATCCTAACATTTGCTAAGAATCTTTGTGCGTCATCCATGTTAGAACAAGACTAAGGTGGAAGGTGTAATGGTTGCCATGTTCACCATCTTATTGAACATTTGTTAATGAGCACAAATTAGCACAAATTTAAACTACAACATGCTGGCATTCCCTCTAATATTGTGGAGATATTTCATTCTGGACCCACTGACCGACAGACCGACACCGCCATCCCTAGAGCCATGCTGCCAGTGTGGCTAAACTATCATAAAGTGTTACAAATGAAATTTCAGTAGATCAATTTATGAGCTAATCATTTCAGCTTTAGTTTTGAAGACCATACAGCCCATATGAATCACATTTGAATGAATGGATCAACTTGCAAGAATGTGTTTGTGCAATATTCAAAAAGACTGTCCAAGAAGTCCAAATATGGAGAATCTGTCTAAGCATGCACTCAAGCAGCTGTTGTGCAGTTGAAACAGAAAAACGTTGGCAATAATGCTTTAATCTTTTCCATAACCTAATGATAAATCACATCTTTACATTACTGATCACACTTTACAACATCTTTAGACTATTGGCAGCTAACTCTCTCTGATCTGTTTTGTCAGAATGCCTACAGACGGTGATCCGACCAGACAAAGGCTCCATGGTAACGGTGTCCTCCAAGCTGGATCAATGTGCTGTGTGTACAGTCAGCGGGGTGAATGACACACAGACTTCCTGCCACTCACCTATCACTTTGATACCTGAAGTGGATAACAAGCTTCTGTTCAACTGCTCTCAGCCGATTGAACAATCATATGCTGTTACAGTAACTCGGACTATTGGTGAGTTTGCAGGTGGTCTTATGGGTCTGAGTGTATATTCAAATGTACTCAGGACAAAAATGATGCTTCACGGTCAAGTGCTTAATGTTCGACAGCACCTGTTCCTTCGTTCAGTTCAAGTACTGCAAACTGGCCTCATTTTAAGTTTTTCCGGAATTGTTTTGTTAAGGGAAACAACGTGAACCAATGTGCCCAAAACATGAAAACAACATACTTAAAATGAATTGGTTACTGTTCTTGAATGTTTGTGATTACAGTCATGACCTTGGTCTATTCTGGAATGTAACTCTTTGTAGTTTACTTAAAACATCAGAGTTATTCTGTCTGAGTTGGTGATACTGAGTCACATTTACACCTGTTACAAAATAAGCAGCTGTTGTCACATTGAGATTGGGATCTTAAGATTGAACCAGCGAGATGCAATACCAAATAACAAATGCCTATCCTTGCTCATGATAAGGCCACTTTCATGTGTGCATTAAACATCTCTTATGATATACAAACATAATTTGGTGATTTAGGTTTAAGTCTTCTGGTTAGTTTCAAATTAGCTGTCAGTAAACAATTAAATTGTTTTAAAATATCGCTGCCTGGGGTTAGTTATTCAAATGAAATAGTTATAAGTGAATAGGCCTGAATTTATGTGTACTTGCAGTGGCAGGTGTGATCATTTTACAATCAAAGAGTCAACTGTTGTGGTAGCTACCTCGAGATGATAACCTAAAAAATCATGCTAGTCCACACTTCAGTCCACACTGCCCTAGACAAAGAGAAGGTTGTTGGGGTGCTCCACTTTATTTAATTCCTAATGACTCAAAGTTACATCTGTTTAATTCACATCAAAATGTAATTAATAGACTTGTATATGCACCCTATACTGTAGAAATTAAATTATTAACCATTCTGTGCTTCATTTTTTGTTTTTAATTGTAATCCAGAATGTACGAAGGACGCCTGCAGCCCTACAACAGCAGAAACTCAACCCTCCATCCTCACAGAGTTCACCAGAACCTTCACCTGGGAGCTGAAAGCACCAGAGAAGACTGTCGTGAGTCTGGACATCCTTGGGGACGGACTGATGAAGACATCACAACCATGCCCCAATGGATTTCAGTATTCAGTGGTCACCTCCGAAACAAACAGCAAGGGTCAGACTCAGTACTGTCAAGGCGGTTCTCTGACTCGTTTAGACCTGCCCAATCAAGCTGCTGTGTCTCTGCAAGTGAAACCAAAGGCTCAGGTGGAATCTGTGTTGTTTCAGGTCTCCGCTGGACCATTAAGTAAGAAAAATTACTTAATCTTCTTTTTTTAAGAAAATCCATAGTTACACTGTTGTTTTTATTTGAATCACTTTGAAACAAGCAAGTAACAAAACCTTGGGCAAGACTTTACTAAAATGATGGATTTACAAATAGCTTGTGCAACCCAGTCCTAGCGTCTGTCTCACTCTGCTTTCTACCCCCTTCAGAGGGCCGAACAATGGTTTTAACTGTTGATTCCAGCACGACTGTGGTCTTTACCCGGGATCCTAAGGGACCAGAGTGTGAAGTCTGCACCGTTGATGGCTCCACTCCGAACTGTAACCCAACAGAAAAGAGACTGAGCAATGCTGAAAAACACTCACTGGAGTTCAGCTGTCCAAAACCTCAGGACATGTACAGTGTGAAGATAAAGAAGAAGATAGGTGAGAGCCATGGAGACTACATCATAAAATTTGCATCACTTACCAGCAGAATTTGGGATTGATGCTTTTACTTCTGTAATTATTTTTGTATCTGTCATTTTTCGATGAATAAGTCATTCATCTTACAATCATGCTGGAAGTCCAGGCTCTTTCTCTTTCTGGTGTCTTCAAAAAATCTCTGTAAACTATGTAAAATTCAAACATTTATTATTTTCTTTGCTCAGAATGCACCAAGAACTCCTGCACTCCTGCGGCAGGGGAAATCGATCCCAACCCCTTGAACGACTTCAAAAGATCCCTAACATGGGACATTAGTGTCCCAGAGAGGACTGTATTGACTTTGGACTTCCCTGGTAATGGACTGAAGGAGATTTCTGGAACAGAAAACTGTCAAGATGGTTATCAGTACTCAGTGAGTACAACTAAAAGTGACGGAAACATCAAAACTAACAGCTACTGCAAAGGCGGGACAGTGTCTCATCTGAATCTGCTTGGAATGACGACTGTGACTATTGAAGTGCCCAAAGAAGGAGAACTAGATCAGACGGTATTCAGTGTCAAAGCAGCACCAAGAGGCAAGTAGCTATTAGCAGGTTAACATATCATTTTATCAAACAAAAGTTTTCTTGTATAGCACATCAATGCCTAACAACTGAAGATATATGCTTCATTAATTATACACAACAATATAGTTTTTCATAGTAGTGTAAACCTCGTCTCACAGTTGATCAACTAAGGTTTTAATTTAATTACTTGCCAAGTTTAGTTTTTCAGTTTTATTTGTTTATTCGACAGGGAAATCTGTAGATGAGCTATAATTAGCATAAAAAAGCTAACTTTAATTTGCTGTCCCAGGCCAAATGTTCAGAAAGACACCATTAAAATAAGATAAACAACACATCTTACAAAAGTCAAGTAAAGAACATAAATTAATATGCACAACACGGTGTGGAGGGTATTTTACAGCAGTTTCCATAACTAGACTAGTTTACAGCCATGCTAGCAGGTCTGTGAGGCTGTGCTTGAGCTGAATGCTAACTTCAGCCTAACGCTATCTCAATGACGGTGGTAACATGCTGATATTTGTGCCACTTACATGTTATGTGGGAGGGAAGGCTATGATGGGAGAAATTCCCTTATTTACGACTTTAAGAGTGTTTTCATCATATTTGTAATTTGTATCTATACAGCATTCTAATTTAATTGAACAAATAATAATAATGTTGAGTGATGGTTGTTTTATTCCTGAGTTGAAAGTGTGAGTTTTAAGAGTACCAAGCAATATAACACTATATCTAAGAAATTTCACCATTTCATTACCTTTAACAACAGACGGTGAAACAGATGATGGAACTCCCATACTTGTCAGAGCCAAGTCAGATATATTGGAGTTTTAAAAAAAATTTTTTAATTGACTTTCCTAGTTGTTTTACAACTTGGATGTTGATGTGATTGTATTTACAACTATAACTCCAATATGGAGTGAACGCAGCCTTAGCAGTTATAATTTTTACCGTGTCCAACTGGTATACTGACATATACCATTAAAAGAATATGTGATGTGCAATATTTTTAACTATTGTTAATATGAATTTAACATGTAACAGAATTTACTTTAGAAACCATTGTGCTGAGAGGTCTAGGCTCATTGGTGTGATCAGATTGTTTTTCTTTTATCTTTAGGTAGCAGAACCATGTCTGTGACCCCTGACCCCAACACCATGATTGTCATCAGCAGAATGTTAGATGAGCCAGACTGTAGTGTGTGCATGAACAAGGCTCCAAAACAGATATGCAACCCAAGACATCTAAGAATCACTGATCATGGCAATACCTCAGTAGAGTTTACCTGTCCTCGACCTCAGGATATTTTCAATGTGGAGATCAACAGAGAAATTGGTATGAATATCTACTATTCAGTCTGTAGTGAATTTTCTTCTGATTACGGTGCAAAAATTTAACTTGTTTTTATTCTTTAACAATTCAGTTATTTGAATCTTTGTCAACACAAAACTCTTTGAAAACCTAAATCACCATCTTTTATTTGTTCTTCTGACTCTATAAACTCCAGACTGCACGGAGACCTCATGCTCTGGTAACATTGTTCAGGCCGAGTCCTCACTGTTCCCAGACTTCAACCGGACCTTCACCTGGGACCTGAAAGTTGTCTCCACTCGGGCTTTTCAATTGGACTTCCAAGAAACAGGAATGCGACAGATTCCCAATGAGGAGACCTGTCCAGATGAGCACACATACTCTCTTGTTACCTATCTGCGCACTGGGCCAGCAACCATTGGTACCTTTTGCAAAGGGGGAACTGTGACCACCATCCTGGCACGATACAAAGGCCGTGTGTCTCTGCGGGTGCCTGGGGACGTGAAGCTGAACCCTGTTGACTTCAAACTCAATGTTGGGCCTGAGACCAGCAGTAAGCTAGTTTTTTTTGTATTTCTGTGTCTTGACAAACACTTGGCCCATCCCACACTGGATTGGCGGACACCACTACAATATATATTAAACAACAGACATCTTCCAGTACACCTAGCTGAAACTAACACAGTCCTGCATTAAATCCTCCTTGATTAAGGTTATAATGTTCAGTTTTTATTGAAACTGTTTCAGAGAGGTGTTGATTGAACTTTATGATCATTTTTGGAGGCAGCAGTTTGTGGTTCTGTCTGGTTCTGGTCTGAAATTTTACAGAGAGGTGGTAATGTTATTAAGCCTATCCTTATTATTATTATATTATTATTATTATAAGGTGGATAAAACAATAGAAACACCAGTTGAAAAACGCAATATAATTCAACAGCATCAAAACAGATTCTCAACTGGGCACAAAGACCATCACTCATTATATAAATTCTAAACAACATTCACAACAAATTCACATTTTTTCATTCTAAATACATACAGTTCTGGTTTAGTGCATATGTCATTAACCCACTTTTCGCTACTCAGCAAACATGGCTTCTTTTAAATTTTTTTGTTTTGTTTTGTTTGTTTTTATTATTAAAGAATAAATCAGCTAAATTATAGTTGTGAATAAGTTTTCAATCATCATCTTATATAAAAAGAGAACTGACTGAACAGTTTAGCCTTTAAGTATTGCTGTATAAGATGAAAATGACAGTTAGGTACCTATAATTGCATTCAAAAGCTTATCCAAAGAGATCTAGATGACCCCCTGGGCATATTTGTAACCACAATATTCTCACCTTGTTTCCATCCAGTGGTGGCCATTGTGAAAGTCAATCTATCACGAGGTGTATCAGACACAGACTTCATCACGGCCAACTATCCCAGAGATTTCCCTGATAACCAGCAGATGCAGTGGGACTTCATGGTGCCCGGCATGCACAACTACACCATGCATTTTCGTGATCACACAGCCCCAGAGTGCCTCAGCAGTGAAGTGGAGGTGGAGTACAAGAAAGAGAACAAGAAGGTGACCAAACTGACTCTGACAGATCCTCAGCCGGAGCATCAGCAGGGCAACTTCAACATGGTGCTCAAGAACTGTGAAACCAACAGGACGATACAGGGACTCACCTTGAAATACAGAGTTTCTGTAATGAGGAGTGGGCATCCAGGTACAGTGTAAAATCTTACATGATCGTTGTTATTGCACAGCCAAGAACGTCTTCACATGCACTGTAGTAGCCTGGTCACTGTAAATCCACATAAACATTAAGCAGGTCAGAAATCCGCTCTCCCCCTAACCTCAAACCTTATTTTGGACCCATGGCTTGCTTCTTGTTTCAGTTTTAGTCAGACTTTGAATGGAATTATTTTACATTCGAGGATCCCTCGCTCGGTGTAATAACCTCTTTTTTTCATCCAGCTGCCCCGTTGCTACTTTCTCCGTCTGCAGTCTTTTGTTGTGCACAGACAAATCTGCGTTCTGGGTATCTGGAGAAACCAGATTTCTTGTTTTCATTACAGTTAAAAAAAAAAATAAAAATCAGCTTCACTGGAGAAAGCCGACTGTAACCTGATTACTCAAGTGCATGTAAATGCACTGGTGGTGAGTTGGTTGATTCCAGTTCTGTTGAAACTTCAGATTTGATTTGAAACGGATGCTTGTGAATGTCATACTGTACATAAGAGGCACAAGCTGGGTCTATGTGAGTAGATCAAAATTATGCTCAGATCTGACTTTTCGATTGTCCACCTGTCTGTGATGTCAGTGTGCTAATTTAATCCTGTATGTTTTTGAAATGAGACAAAAATAGAGTAACACATAATATTGTCATAACAAAAGCACAAGTCAGGATGAATACTCAAATGATGCCTCCATGTTGTATTTCCTTTTCAGTTCTGTGTACGGTGGATCTAACCAAACAGCAAGGAGTGTCCCTGCAGATAGAGAAAGTGGGTTCTGATCCATATTGTGAGATGAGCATTAACTCCAAGGTGGAGAAGAAGATAAACATAGCTGCGGGCACAAAGGCCAACCTCTCCTTCCTCGACTGTCCAAATGAAGATGTGCGCCTGACAGCCACCGAAGTCATTGGTGAGATGATTATTTATGTGTATATTCGTGACTAGCTAAAATTATTGTAGCATGTTTTTTTGTTTTCTTCTTACTGAAAGTCTTTTTGAGTGATGAGAAGATTGATACCAGTCTCATGTCTATGCAGTAAATACAAAACGTTGAACAGAGCCAGGCTAGCGGTTTCCATCTGTTTCTAGTCTTTAAGCTAAGCTAAGCTAACTGGCTGCTGGCTGTGTTTACATATTTATCATACAGACATGAGAGTGGCATCAGTCTTTTCATGTAACTCTCAGCAAGAAAGTGAATTACCATATTTCAAATATGTTGAACTCTATCTTTGTATTTGTTTCTCTGGGTTTTCCTTTAGTTTAGAAACTTAATATTCTCAATCTCTAATGTGCCTTTTAATACCAGGTTGCCAAAATGTGGCATCATGCCCTTCGACTCTCCTCACTGTGCCAAAACTGGATTCCTGTCTACCGATGTCACTCCACAGCTTCACGTGGCACCTCAACATCCCTCAGGACGGCACAGTGGACCTGGTGTCGCCCACGGGGAGTCTCCAGCAATCCATCCCTGGCCAGAAATGTGATCAGTCTGTCTCATTGCATGTGTCAGAGGAGGATGGGTTTACTGTTGGTGATTTCTGCTTTAATGGAACCATCCAGAAAGTTCAGGTGCACGCCAACGTCTCCATCACAGCTACAGCCCAGAACTTTACCAGGACCAGGGGGCCTTTTCTCAATGCCAGCTTCAGTCAGGAGATCCCAGGTAAAACATAAATGTAATAATAGTATAGTATAATTTCCCAGAGCCCTAAGTGTCCTCTTCCTATTAATGGTTTTGTTCGACTAACAATCCAAAACCTAAAGATATTCATACCATATTCATACATTCATATGATTTTGCACAGGGTTACAGTTATTGTGTTACTGCTAATGTTAATGCTGCTGCATGTCTGCTGGATGTGTAAACAAGCAATTGTGTGCAAACAAATTTGTCATATCAACTTTATAAGGCGACAATAGGTTACCTGTCGTTGTTTACCTTGCAATCTTCCCCTACAGTTCATCACCAAATAAATGCAACAAGTCCAGACACATTCCCCGGGTGTTTGTTAACATTGTAGCCATTCTAGATAATGTAGGAAAGAAGAGGTTCAAGCACTGTGGGTGAGGCAGATGAGGGTAGTTAGATACGCAGCTCCATAAAAAAAGTGAAATGCACTGAACATCTAGATTTCATCCATTATGTGCAATATGAAATTGTAATGGATGTTATTCACTTTTTTCTGGTATTTTATAAACCAAATGGTTAACTGGATTATTGAACAAATAATCAGCAGATTAATCGATAATGAAAATGAAATTATCATGCTGTAATGTTCTATTCATTGTGCTCTGTAATTACGGCCTAATGAAACATTCACTTTACTCCAAAACGCCACACGGGGGCACTGTTGTACCACGGATGCTGGAGACACCTTTTTAAACGTATCGACCAGCAGAGATTAATCACGCACAGGATACAGTACCGACACTCAGCATTATTTCCATCCCCTTTTCAGAGACCATTATTTACAGAGTCAACCCTGGGATATTGTCTCCAACCCTGCTGGCCACCCCCAACTGGCCCCAGGGCATGAAACCTTCCTCCACCATGTCCTGGATTGTCACCGTGCCGAGCCACTACCAGGCACATGTGCAGTTTGTCAACGTCAGCCAACCCAAATGCCTCGAGCGGCACACTGCCATCATAGTGAAGATGCTGGGGTATGAGGAGGAACTCATGAGCCGCCGGGAGGACGAGCAGGCGGAGGACAAGTTATTGATCCCGCAGAGTTTCTATCTCAACATGTCCAACTGTATACCAGAGGAGGGACACTTTGGTGCAGTGACCAAAATCGTTCTGCAGAGGAAGACCAGTAAGCAAGCACTTGTCTCGGCCTTTCATAGGCATGAAAAAACCCTTACTGTGAAAACCAAAGTAAACAAATGAATTCTCCCATATTTTCCTTTTTCCTCTGTAGATGTCTTAGCCATCATCCTCGGGATAGTAGGAGCTCTTTTGCTAATGCTGATAGTGCTGGCTGTGGTATGCATCATCACGAAGTGAGTACAAGTATAACAAAACTCTCAAAACATCTGGGCCCATATTTATGAAACCATTGAAACTGACATTCTACAAATCCTTCGCCTTTACTTCTACTTTACTTACTAAAATGAATGCTAGTTATCAAAATTCTTGTGTCTTCAAACGCTCATTGGTTGTGATGGTTTTTATGTTGAGAATATATGATCAGGGGTGTGAACAACAAGAACCTAGCTTGAGCTCACAAGATAAGGTGATTAAGCGTTATGAATCGAGTCAAAAATGTAACTGCATACACAAATGAATAATGTTACTTAAATAATAGATACATTCTTTAATCAATACCAAGACAAAAAATATAGGTAACTGAAGAGCTGAAAAATAAAATTAGTGAGATCAGGAGATAAAATAATTATGTTTTAATTTATTTTATCAAATAATAAGTGGTAAAGGAAAAAAATCTTAATATTTCTTTCTTCAGTTTTATTTATTGATGCAATCAGTTATATTTTTGAGGCTCCATACATCTCTACAAAAGTAATATGAGGCAGGGAAATATAAGTATAAATACATTTTTAATTTTTAAGATTTTTTTACTGATTAGACATTAGACATTAATGCAACAACTTTCTGTGGTTATTATTGAAAATATTATTTGTTGATGTATTCAGTTATATTTTTATAAAATTTTATATTTTACTACATTTTGTCAGTTTTGGGGCTCCATACATGAGTACATTCTTAGTAAAGTGATAATTATTTGTAATTTACCTCTAAAATTGGCCTTTAACTGACAGCTTTTGTTGACTCTTTCTTATTGATTCCAATCTGCGTTCATCTTTTCAAACAGGAAAAAGAAAAAGGAAAGAACGAATAAGGAGGCCTCCATCTACATTGGAAAAGGGAGTTTCTTCCGCCCAGGTGACAAGCACTTCACCAAAACCCGACCTGACAACAACTCCCACGTCTACGACTCCATAGATGAAATGATGGTGTACGGACATCTGCTGGGTGAAACCAGCTACGCCGACAGCATGCAGGACCACTTCACAGGGATGCAGGCGGACTCTTATAACACATTTACAGGCCCCACTGACGGACAGCTGCCTGTTATCAAAGAACCGGACCCAGAGCCCAAGATTGACCAGTACAAGACGTTCCTGGACCCCTCTGAGACTTTCATCCCATCCCGTCCGCGGACTCCCATCGACCGGCAGGACAGCCTCGGCTTTCAGGACCGCAGGATGGTGGACAATGAACTGTACACGTTCAAGAGCACAGGGGACATAAACACAATCCGGCTCTCTGGAGCCGACATGGAGCCACAGCCGCCGATAACAGAGGAGTCCTTGTAGTGCATTAGGACTTCAGCTGCATGATGGACTGCTGCTACTCTACTCTCATTACAGCACCAAGTATTATCTGGTCTGTACTGACGTGAACTTTGTGCCTCGATCACACTCAGTGATTAACTTTTAATGTGGGTGTTCGTCATCTTTGTCAGAACTTCAGCTTCAAGAGTAGAAGTGTTGATCCTCTTTTTTAAAGGAATAATTTGACATTTTGGGAGATAGATTGCTGTCTACAGAATATAGTAGATATGAAGCTACTGCCAGCAGCTGGTTAGCTTAGCTAAGCATAAAGGCTGGAAATGGGTAAAATGTTAGCCTGGTTCTGTTTAAACACCACCACCTACCAGCACCTCTAAAGCTTATTAATTAAATTAGTTATATATTGTGTTTGTTTGTAATCCATGCAGTGACTTCCTGAAGTCCGCACAAACATGAAGATGATATTGATCTTCATGTCTAATAAAATCAAGAATACATATTTCCCAAAATGTCGATCTATTCCTTTAATGTTTGATATGTTTAGTTTTATTAAATTTCAGTCCATGTGACATGGATTCAGGAGCAGGGACTATGGAAAAAGATGTGCAAGTACCTCTGGTGTTTGTTTTTAAAAGTGTTTGTTAGATTGTTTTATAGTTTTTTTTTTTTCTTTAAATGTAAATACAGTTTTTTTTTTTTTTTTTTTTTCTTTTCCAATAAATTCTAGGTGAATAGCTCTGTGGGGAGACAGTTTACTTCTTGAGGTAATGGCTGCCATCACACATTAAAGCAGTGACATTTAACTTTCCCTCTTATGCTGAAACATTGACCTTTTGCATGGTGAAAACAATTTCAACCACAGGAACTCCAGCCATGAAAAACAGAGTGAAGGAGGGTGTGGAAGAGAAGACTGCAGACTGCAGAGCAGTAGCCAGTGTTTACTGTGGAGAAGTGTTTTTCACTGGAAACAATGACTGCACACGCCAGGTTTACAGAGCTGCATCCCATTTCTTACAGCTGCAAGCGGTTACACCATATTCTGTGACCGCTGTGGAGTGTGACCGCAGGGGGGCACGTGAAGGAAAGGTGAAGTACCTGACTACATTTAGATAGTGCTTATTTTATTCAGTCTTCAGGCACAGTAGGTGTCAATTTATGACACAGGCCTTATAGATGACCCTGCTGTGCCTGGAAATTGAACAATTTCATTCTGCTGTGCCTCTGTCGACCTGCACCTGAAAATTTTAGAAAAAAAAAAAAAACCCTACATCCAGTAATTCTCAAATACTTGCGTGCGGTACAGTAATTCCTGTATTGCATCCCAAATTGTTTTTGCAGTTTACACTCACATTTTTTGTATAGATTAACCATATGAGATTGACTGCATAGTAATTAGTGGGTTTTAGAGAAGCTGGTCAGCAGTTATTGTTATTGTTGTTGCCATTATCCCTGTTTCCGATGTTTGTGCCCAGAAGAAACTGAAACTGAACAAACTGTTTAGTGGCTGCTGTTGCTGTAGCTTCACATTTGCCATATAATTACGAGAGTGGCATCGATCTTCTCATGCAACACTCGGCAAGAAAGCAAATAACTGCATTTCCCAAAATGATAAGAGGATTTTTGCATTTTATTGATGTTCATTTTCAGGTTACATCAGGCTAGATATTACAGCAGAATACAAAACTAGCAAACTGAAATAATCTCTTAAAAGAATTCTGATTGAAGATGATGAAGATTGAGTTTACTGCAGTATCACTTATATTATTCTGGCTCCTTGTGAGTCTTGTCGGTAAAATACAGTAGTTAGTTGTGAGGGGTTGCCTTAGTTTAAACCAGTGGTTCTCAACCAGTGAGTCACGGAGCTGTTGTAATGTTGAGGTGTGGATGTGTGGACATAATGGAAAAGTTACACCCAGTTTTTACATTTGTGAAAGGTGCCAGCACCCACGCACATTTTATTGCAGGAACACTGGTATTTTGAATTATGAACATCTAATAAGCCTATATATGTTTTGATATTATTGGAAAATTATAATTTTGTATATTTTTTAAAAAGAGGATTTAGACAAAAATCTATAAATGACTGCAGAAGTCACTGATGCCTAAGTGAAGATATGATGTCCCATAATCTCTGGCTTATTCTTGACTGGACTTTGTTCTCCTTGGTTTCATTGTGACCACAAGGAATCCTGAAAATTACATATCACCAGATCCCTTTTGTGAAAAATATCAGCTTCACATATCAATGTCTCCTGCAGCAGACCGTGACTGCTAGATCTGAATTTGGTCACGATGCAAAACCAGCTGAGAACCACTGGCTTAAAAACTCCTTTGAGAATAGCAGGCAAAGTGGAATTGCAGATAGAGTACACAGACAAAGCAGCTAAAACCATGCGCAGAGTCTATGGTGAGATAAATGTAATCAAACAATGTTGAACTGGCAGACAGAGGGCTTCTCCTCACGGCAGTTCTCGTCAAACCACTTCCCACGGGAGGCCACGGACAGGACGACACAGTTCTGGGACTGGCCTCCGTCTGGCTGAGGGGACCGGGAATTGGATGTGTCCCAGTTTTTGTATCCGATGCTGACGCCGGTCTGGTCCATCCAGGTGCCCTCAGTCACCATGTCGTTGACGCCCAGCCAGATCTGCTCATTCGGGCCCAGTCTCTGGCGGATGTAATCTCTGAGCTGGTCGTTCTCATCGCTGGATGTGGGCGTACCGAGGACACCGCCCAGGGCGTTACAGTCTTCACTGGCAGTGTGATAGCGCTTCTTCACAGGCTCAGCTAAGAAACACTTGCCGTGGGTCTTTATGCCTTTCAAACAGACTGATGGGGGGGGGGGGGGGGGGGGTAAAAGGGAGAAGATGTTTAGACAGTGTCATCTTTCATTCTTTTTTTCCTCAGGAGATAATACAGCTATCCCGTTATCTCTGAGGACTGCCCTTTGATAATATGAATAACAGTAGCCCTGTGGTATTTTGAGACAGGATATAAGCACAAGATCCTCAGTGATAATGAGCAACATGATGAAAAAAGGTGCTTTCCATCAGCGCTGAGGATGTTAGGATTGGCAGGAACAACTGGATATCATTTTGTGTTCTGAACAAGGGATCAGACAAAGGTTTGCCATGTGCTTCCCACATTAAAACGTGCAGTTTCAAAGACTGCACATGTATCCCATCTGTCTTTATTTTTAAGAGAGGCGTAACACAGACTATTGACTACAACTTGAATACATCTTTGGTGCCCTGACTCGTGTAGCTCATGTCACGTTATCAATGAATTCTCTTTAAATGTTCGAGTTTTAATCTCTGCAGCTGGAAGTGAGACTAAGAGGTGTTGTTTGTCTGCACTGATGGCTGCTTACCCACCTCCATGCGTGATCATAAACTAAGTTGAGCTGCTGATGTGCACGTCTAAGGCTAGAGGGTCTGTCAGTGGGTTTCCAAAGTTGCCGTTTGAGTCACATCTCACATCACACATACTATATCATTTCCTCTTAGTGTATAAAGGTAAAGTACAAGTGCATTTCCACCAACAGGAACTTTAATTTCCTAAGAACTGATGTACAGGAACTTTCCCAAGGGTAAAACTTCCTCCAGTGTATTGTCTAAGGCCAAAGCCACATGAAGATTTAAAAAAAAAAAATGAGACTGATGTTGTATCAAAAGCTCAACTTTCACCTTTCATGTCACATCAAAGATATAGAGTGATGACGACATATAAAGCGAAAATGGCCAACAAAGCCTGGGCTTTGTCATCGATCCATCAGTAGTAAAACATCTTGAGCTGCTCTGTCCCGATTATTGCCACAACTTACAAGCAAAACAACGGGTTTGCAGTTGCAATCTTTTAAAAACGCCGGGTGTATAACAGTGTTGCTTGACCAATCAGTGACGTTCAGTGCTCCAAGCCTCACCCAGAAAGTTCCTGAACCATCAGAAAGTATGACCCCTTGAAGAAGGGACTTGTTTTGGTTGGTTAAACCGTCTCCCCAGAGCTTCATTTACACCCTGGTCCCTCTGGTGGAAACGAATGCAGGGGAACTAAGTTTCTCAAAAGGTTCCTGTTCCCTGGGAAACGTTCCTGCAGCGGAAACACACCTTATGTTGCTATTTTTGTAAACTAACTGCTACGACAGTATGCTATGACAGTTAATGTATAGTACACAATGTACAGAATTAACATATAGTACTGATTTGGGACACAGGTAATAACTGCCTGGTGATTTGGTGAAAGCAATGTTACTTGAGACCATGCACCGTGAGAGCACTTCATGAACTAAAATAAAGCTCCTCAGACTAGATCCTGGCACGGGGCCCCTCTACAAGACAGGGTCTCAAGATAAGGTCTTAATGCAGGATCCACCTCGGTTGACATTGTCCCTTAGTATTGCATATTTCTATTAAAAGACTTTTAAATCACACATTTTAAACACAATTGATTAAAATGCAGCTCTTCACTTTGACTGATTAGTAATCCAGCCTTACTTCGGACCACTTGGTCAAGCATCAAGTTAACACCACTGCTCGTGGTTGTGGGGTACATTCAAATAATAGAGTCCTACTTAACAGGAATTATTTTTGTAATTTAAACCAGATCTTCAAACTCAGTTTTACCTGTCTGCAGGGCTTGTTGTTCCTTCAGGAGGTTCAGCTCCTGGACAATGTCGTTGATCTGTTTCTGCAGCCCCTCCATGGCAGCATCCTTTGTCGTATCTGGAGTCCGGCAGCACCAGGGACACAAGAACATTCAAATCAGGTCATATGAAATTTAGTGGGAATCCGTGCATCAAAGGACAACTAACTAATGTTTGAATAAAGTCTTATTTCAGGGTTTTTAGCACATGATTATGAGGAAAACAAAGAAAAATAAAGAAAATAAAATTTCATAGCAGTATCTCAAAGAACAATCACATTGTCCGGATGTTGTCTATCTACCTTTTTTCACGAGCTTCTTCCTCGATGGAGTCTGCTGAAGCGAGCAGTTCACCAGCAGTAGTGCTCCCAGCAACACACACACTCTGAACTCCATGGTTAGACCTGTTGAATGAGGCTGCTCCAACGTGGAAGCTTGCAATTTATCGCTCTCTCTCTCTCTCTCTCACACCCTCCCTCTCATCGCTCAGAACAGGGAAAAATACTGAGGTCCAAAACTGCCATTTGCAGGAATAACAATCCAACCTCAAGAGCATTTAAAGATGGTGTGTGTGTATGTGTGTGTGTGTATGTGTTTTTTTTCTCTCATCTGGCTCCAGACGCTTCACATGGAGGAGCAGTGCTAACTAGAGCCAGGTCTGGAGAGCAGGTGGAGACTGGCAGACAAAGCGAGACAGTGTGAAACAGTTATGACATAACCCTGTGCGGCTTCCATCAGAGTGTATGAAAAAGTAATAAACAAACACTGATTCATCTGTTGCATAAAAGTCTAAATAACTTGGTTACAGTTTATTTCTTGGCTCTAAAGACTGGTTAAGACCTAAGATGGAATAAGACTTTTTTTTCCTAATAGCTGGCCAAAAGGTGCTTTGGAAGCTCCTAGATATGGCCTCATTTGGAAAAATGTTAATATTTCCTGGTGTTTTTGGCAGCGGTGAAGAGTTGAAATCAAAAAGTTAATAGACATTACCTGTGAAGTCTCTTATCTTTTTTTTATAAATAATTCTCTGCAGTCTTTTTTTTTTTTTTTTCATTCCAAACTCTCTGGCCATAAGTAGTGAGTTTGTTTTGGCCGTCTGCTCCCAGCCTGTGCGCACAGTCTGAGGGAAGAAGAGTGGTAACGATCCAGTCACATCTGGTCTTTCTGTAAGACTTCCACTGTACACAATCCTCGTACTGACACGTGGCAAAGACAGAGGGACGCAGAGAGGCTGTTGTGAAACTACAGCACTGACTTCACATCTGATAACTTTGTTTCTTTACCCAAAAAATAATGAACTCAAGCTTAACGAGTGTGGAACAGAAACGAAACACCACGATACTGAAACGTTTTTTTTTTTTTGTTTTTTTTTTTAATATGTAAAATATGTTGCTCAGTGACACAATTTCATGGACACACTTAATATTTTTATGAACACAGTCCCTTCTGTAACGTCCTCAGCACATTCGGTTATCTTAAAATATTCACTGGTTTCAGCTGTATTAGCTGTTTTTTAGTCTTGTCTGATAATAAACTGCACGTGTTTAGTTTTCAACTATTTGTCAGCTTGCAATGAGCAATTTTTTTTACCATTTCTAGATTTTATAAGCCAAATGATTAATAAAAAAACAAATCAATCTGCAGATAAACTGATAAAGTAGATGCAGCCCTAAATCAGACATTTGATTAATGGGATCCTAATATCTTCTACACAGGATGATGTATTCTGATTCAAATGCCAATCGACCCCCAGTAAAGACAAATAAAACAGGCTGCTATCTCCATCAGGTTTCATACAGGTGTTTTGGTGTTAATTAAAACATTAACACCAAACAACAGCATATATAAACGTCAGAAAATTCAAGGACGAGCAGACTGTACAAATTAAAAGTTTTATTAGAAAATTACATGTACATACACGCTGTAGATACAGTGGTTGATCTTAACCAAGGAAACCAACTTTCTGTTTCTTCTTTCCCAAACTCTCCTCCTGCTGCAGCAGCTTCATGAGCGGAGCATGAAGTGCTTTCCCGACCCGTTTACCGGCCTGGAGACAAGAAGATACTTTAGTGCTGTTCTTACGGTACAGACTTATTCATACATAATCGCATTCAAATACAGTATTTACATTTTTTAAAAAGTCAGAACCTTTATTGTCAATTTAAATGTAACTTACCTTCTGTATTTTCCATACATTTTGTAATGTAATAACATAAATGTTCTACGTGTTCTTAATGTCCTAAGAATCATCAATGCAAACATGTTGAAAATTTACAGAGAGAGTGTTTTTATTAGTCTTCTGACATGTTGAAAAGAAGCTTGTTTATGTTTTTGCTGAGAGTTAGTTGAGAAGACTAACACCACTGCCATGTCCGTGCCATTATACACAATGTTAGAGGAGAAAGAAACAGTACATTCAAAGCAAACATATGGTATTCCTGGGTCTTTTAAAACTCTGTGCACTATAAAAATACAGCAGCAGTTTCACCCAGCTGACATAATAACCTGGTTATTGGCTCAAGGTCGACTCTCACTGCTTTCGTGCCGCAGTTAAATAAAAATGAAATAAAACCACGTCATGCTAATGCATCAGCGGTGGTGAGAGGAGAACAGATGGTGGAGAAGGAGGGCCGGAGACTCACCTCTGTCATTTCAAAGATGCTCTCTGGATCCAGGCTGCCTCCGCCCACCTTCCTCATGCAGGTGACCGTGCCCTTGTGTGTGACAGAGATAATCAGGCTCGCCACAGAGCAGGCCTTCTCCTGCAGAGTCGCGTCCACCACGTGTCTGTGGCCCACCTGCGGAAAAAACAGTGTATACGTTTCAGTTTGTGCGACAACGGGCTTCAGAAATTCTTTCCTTCTGAGTATCAGCAGGTGATCTTACCTTGCACAAGGTGACTATACAGGGGACATTTTCTACATTGAGTCTCATACAGTCATACGGATCATCTGACAGCTCAATTTCCTTTCCTCCTTCGTCATCTGCTGATATATGCACTCTGGGAATTCTGTCGGTGAGGGAATCAGAGGACTGTCTATAAGCTTATTCAGTCTGTATGGACAAGTAGTTCATTAAATTGAAAGATATGACAGCTGTAAGAGATCACAGGATTAAAAATCCGATCATAAAGACCCAAAAAAATACCAGAATGACACTTAACTTACTTTGTGTTGAAGAGAGCTGCCTTGACAGCTATTGAGATGGCATCATACAAGTTTCCATCGCACTGCAGGAGCTGGGGAAACACAGCAATGTGAGATTTGACCTTAGTGAAGACAATGGAACTCAGTACTAAGATGAAATAAGCTGCTCCAATGTCAAATGTGCTGCTTTGATTCATTCCTCAAGTGGAACAAGGGAGAAACACTGTTTATCAAACAATGCTTCACATGCAAAGATGAGTTTTCATATTGTATCATACAAGTACAAATAGATTAGAAGTACAAACACTAAATCTTCCTACGCATGTGGTGTCTTTGTTTTGTCAATGAGCAAAAATCTAAACAAACTAGCTTGAAACAAACTAATCCATGCATGGATTATTACATTATCCGACCACCCACCAACACATCCACATAGAGCACCCAGCAGTGTTCTCCAGCACTGATGCAGAGACTCTTCAGGTCCACACTGTGTTTGTTGTTGAAGACTTTGTAGAGAGTGTTACTCAGCTCCGTCCCCAGCTCCTCGCCTCCTCTGCCCTCAAATTCAGGGGTTGCGTTGGCTGAACTAGCGATGAAAGGAGAAAATAAGACAATAAATATGTGTGGTAACAGAATATCTATCAGTCTGAGAGGGGTCCGGCTTATTCTCTCTTGAGTTAGTGGGAAAGAGGTAAGGCAGAGTAAGTAGGAAAAGCAGTGAGACTGACTGACCCTGCTACACCTTACCATATGCATGTATGTCATATTTATTGTAATATAATAATATCTTTTATTTTGGTAAGTTCACACATCACTGGAATCTGCTGGAGACACATGTCACAGGGAACAGGCAATACAACACCACCTCCTAGTGGCAGGGAATCCAATAAAACATTCCCAAAACCCTTTTCACCTAGTATAAAACTAAGAGGAAAATTTATTTGACTTTTTACAATGAGAATCTTCATTTTTGTTCCTGTTGGTTACATTAACATTTTTGTCTGACACACTTTTACCTTTGATTTCAATTCGAAATAGTAATAGGGTTGAAATTGATTTGTTAAAAAGGTAGATGTTTTTAAATAATACCACTGTACAAATTTCTTTGATGGTTGATTATTGTAATACTGGTATATTCTGTTTTAAATCTATTCTGATGAGAGTCCCCACATCCCCCTGCTTCTATCATGAAGAATATGACAGTATATACCATCAGACAACATATATCTCAGTCATTCAGTCATTGGAGAACAGTGCTTCATATCTGTAAGTAGGACTGATTTGTTGCAATACTCAATATTTATATGATTTTTGATTTTTTGCATCAATGTAAGGAATTACCCGTATTTGACCGGTATTATACCTTTCTAAATTAGCCAAAAACAAATATTCCTTCTATGTGTTTTGTCCATAAGCAGTTTTACAACTTATTGTCCATGCTTTGTATGCACCAAACTTACCAGTCAACAAAGAACTCCAAATAACCTTCATTTGGCACCATGGGCCTTGGTTTTCCTATTTCAGCCTTAATCCCAACTAGAACTACTGTGTGACCCTGACAGAGACAAAACAGAAAATAATTACAGACAGTTAATCAGTCAGTGAAAATGCAAACAATAAAGAAGGCAGTGGAAATTTGATAAGCTCGAGTCTAATTAATAAGCAGTAGTATGTGCAGATGGAAAGATTTAGAGCAACTTCTGCTGCAGATAGTGTAAGTTTATCGTTACCAGTGAGACTTTGGCTGATCCGTCTGTGTTGGACACCACATCAGTCTCTACCTCCATGTGTCTGTAGTCCTCACAGCCTCTTCCATCCACTCTCAAATCATCCTGATGACAAGAATCAACATATCAACAACACAGGCTCAGCTAGCAAAATGCTAACTCAGCTAGCCTTCCAGCGTCGTAGAGCAGAAATCAGTGCCGTGGCATTTATCGAAATCATTTGAATGACAGAGGTCGAGGGAAGCTGAAGTATGACTGTTAAAAACTTACCCGTATACCGTGTAAAATGTACACTTTTTCAGCCTCGCTGACTTTAACTGTTGCCATAATGATGTGAAAACACTGGTGGCATGTGTGTGCGTCCCTCTTCTTCTACGTCATCCAAAGACGACGGAAAAAAACCTCATCACAACCGTTAGTTGTGATGTTTTGCTCATCTGGATGTCCCGGAAGATGGCAAACCCCGCCCCGCCGGTGCATCAAGTCTCAAAAACAGACTGAAATCTAAAAGTACAAATATTTCACGAATTCATGAGGGATACAGAATAAAACAACTTAAAATCACTGTTTTGAAAAATTTTTTGTGTGCATTTAAAGCATACTTTTATGCATCAGAATTGCCACCTCTGTCACTTCACAGTCACAAAAATGAATGAATGAATGAATGAATGAATGAATCCTTATCTTGTAATTATGAATTCTGTGTCATAATAACGAGAAAAGATGCTCTATGACTTAAATACCACTATAATACATGAAAGCAAGGCCTGAATACCAAATGGGCAACATGGATGACTGTCCAGGGACCACAAAAGCCACAGATTTACGCTAGTCTTCTGTCTACATAATGTAATTAATCACAAACGTATATGAGATTTGCACCATTGGAGTAGAATATCAGCTATAACAGGTCCTCCATCCTCCATCTTGTGACCTTGGTCTTCAAGATGGAGTCTGTCTCAAAATCTAGTTTTCAGATCTCAAATGTTTCAACTCCTTTGTTGTAAAGTTGTGTTTTATGAAATCACTTTAAGTTTTCCTTTGTGTAAAGTAATTACATAACTCAAGAAGCCTTTGGAATATAGTTATCCATTTAGGAGTAAGGCTGCAACCAACAATTATTTTTGTAATTAGTGTCTTTAATAATAATAAAATGTCAGGAAAATAATGAAATATGTTATTTTTTGTTATAATTATTATTCACAGAAGCCAAAGGGAAAATACTGCTTCCTCCAGTCTGACCCACAAAACAAAACCCCAAATTTGGGAAACTAGCAAACATTCACGTTTAAGAAACTGGTATCAGTGGATTTTTGTCATTTTTGCTAAACAATGACTCAAATAATAGACCGGTTATCAAAATTGTTGCTTTAAAATCCGCAGTCCTAGATTACTGGTCGGGGTTAGTAGGTGCCCAGTAACTCACTTCTTGCCCCAGGGCCTAGTAGGACGTTATTCCACCCATGTGTGCAGTGCACAAACTTGGGCTGAGATACGGTAGAAAAGAGTATCTTATAATGTGAACAGAATCCCCCAGTATGAGGAGAAATTAAGTGGCTCACTTAGTTTAGCTCAATTGAGCTCATTTAGCTTTTAATGGGAGACAGTGCGAGCCTGGGAGAAGGTGCTGCCTGTCAGACTTCGCTCAGGGCGGCACCGCTCAGATAAGGCAGGAGAGACTTCCTGGTTGGCTCTGCTGGGTTTTGTTGTCCCACCGCCCACAGAGCCTTGTGGACCCGACAGAGAAGCTAGGCCCGTTTCGAGACTCGGTCCTCGGCTGTAGCTCGCACACGGATAAATACGTCAACAAACACCTCGTCGAAACCGAGGCGGCGGTGAGAGGGGGAGCCGGAGCGAGGGGCCGTGGAGAGCAGCTGTCCGGGGATCAGTGAGTTAGCTGGGACTGAGCTATCCGGCGGAGCCGCGGAGGAGACTCTCACTCTCAGTTTGGTCCGTATTTAACTTCACGAGCCTCCAAACTACGTGAAGACTTCAAGAAACTTTTGTAGACAAGCTAGGAGACAGCGAGGTAGGTTTTTATAAACAGCAGACCCGTCAATTTAACATAATTTTAATAACATACAGTAGGTGTAACAACTGGATATCCAGATACCCCGACCCAGCTGCCACAGTTACTTCCTGCTCTGGTTTATTGCATTAGCACTTTCTGGAAGTTAATTTAATATAGCGCATTATAATACCGTAATATACATAATACACACTTAACATAATAACCGTACAAGCCCTGTTAATCATTACACATTTTAGCAGCAGAAGAGGCTCTGCCCAAGGGCACTACAGCAGGGCAGCTGTGCACCGAGACACAGATTTTAATTTCCTTGTAGGTACCTATGAAGTTGTCCAATATATTTTAGTTTATGTGTTCTTATCCTCCACTAAATCAAATCAGCCTAACTCAAAAGGGTGTAAACGAAGTTGCCAAGTATGTCTCAATCAGAGTAATTAAACGTGGGGCTGCAACTAACAGTCATTTTCATTATCAATGAACCTGTCAGGTTTTTATTTTTATTTTTTTTTATTCTTTACAGGTGGAAAACATAAAAGTGAGTAGGGTCCTCGAATATCAGACAATTTGAAGTCTGTTCTGACCTGCAGTTTTGAAATTTTACATTATTTACATTATAAGTCAAGTGTGTTGTGTGAAACGGTTTTAGAGCCTCTCAGCTCTCACAGTGAAACCATCACAGTAACTGCAGTATGTTCAAAAAGAGGCTGAGATGTGTTAAGATTTAAGATTGTTCTTAAAAGCACTACAAAAATGTAATTTCTGAGTAACATAAGAACCACTACAGATGCATGTGCATGTGTAAGGGTGGATGTGTTAAAAGTGAAAGGGTGTGCACCTAGGCAGCATATGTGCAGGTCCCAGATTTTTGTGCTACATCTGTGCAAATTTCTCAGTCTGTATAATGTCAGTGGAAAAATATCAATCACAGTTTTCTAGAGTCCAGATACTAAATTTTTTATCACCAAAAAAGAAAAAAAAAATGGAAAAAAGCAGAAAATCCTAACATTTAGGAAGCTGGAATCAGCAATTGTTTGGCATTTTTGACTGGAGAAAAATTTGTAACAATTAATCCCTTATCAGAATAGTTGTGGATTAATTTTTTGTGGATTAACTAATTGTTTCAGTTCTCTAACTCGTCCATTACACGTTGACATACAGTATTTATCCGCAGTAAATCAATCAACTAATCTCAAAGAGTGTCCGCAAAGTTTCCAGATTGAAGCGTCACACTCAGGTTGCTAGATTAACTAACTGTAGTGTCTGTCTCCCAATTAGGGGACTCTGTATCTGGGTACTTTACCTTGGAGCTGCTGTTACCAAAAACGGTCCCTCCATGGTATTTAGACACTGTGATTTCTATAGCTGTACTGTATTGTACATATTGTATTTGTCTGTCTGTTGAGCACTAACACTTCACCTGTCAGTATCTGGTGTTTTCCATGTAGTTAACCCTCTAGTGTCACAGATTTCAGCACATCAGAATCACAGCTATCAAAATGTACGACCGTGTCTAAATACTAGGGTGGCACCTCTTTTGGTAACTGCTAGAAAAATGTGATAAAGTAAGATAAAAAACAACTGTGGTGGCAGCAAAGCTGTTTTGTTTTGTTGTGTCATAGTGAAAATTGCTGAAACATTATGATTGCCATGTGCCTATCAGCTCATGTGACACATTCTTGCCTCATCTACTGTAATATGCCGACACAGAGTGACATAAACTGACAGGTTCCCATTGTTTAGTTCACAAACCATTGTTTTTATAAGCTGCCGAGTGAGGTTAATCAGTAATGTGAGATCACATTAGAGTGTTAATTAACTGTCCGTCACACCAGGAGGTTAAATCTATCTCCCTCTCATCTCTACATCACGTCTCTTCCTGTCCACTTAATATCAAACTGTGCCATGTGAACATTTGGAGCTGGCTCACTGCCATAGTATAAATCTGGCATTTTAACATCCTGTATCTTAAAGCACTGCAGAGGCATCCTGTTTAGTGGCATTTCAGCAACTCTCAACTGTTGCGTCTTTTCTTTAGGTTGACATAATTAAATAAGGGCTGTTCTGTAAAGTGTCTCTGCTACAATGAAGTCAGTCAGTTGGTTCTTTTTTCACTTGAAAAACATTTATATTCACTGAGAGAAATCTATAGACTTTAATACAAAAGAAACCATTCACTGAGTTGACAGTTGTTAACAAACCCTGGTTTTGCAGACTTTTCATTGTTGCATGTTTCTATCTTGTCTCATCATCTGCATTTTCAGTAAACATTGTTTTTGTTGCTATCTTAATGTCTTTGTTTCTAATGGAGTGAGTCGTAAAAGCAGACCACATAACAGTTACATTACAAGCAGTTATAAAATGTCCTGCATCCCCCTTCCTGGAACCAGTTTTACTCGATATGGGCAACTCCCGTCAGCTGAATCAGCCTGGCAAGCAGTCACATGAATGACCAGCGGTCAGCTCGAATGATAAAACAAAGCCTGTGTAATAAGGATTTTGTCCAATATCTTGAAGCACATTGACCTGTATATTAAAACAACCAAACTGAAAAAGAGTGTATGCCAAGTTTCCAGGTTGAACACATACGTGTGGATAGTTTTACTAGTTGCTACTTTGTTTTGCAGTAGACTATTACACAACTTCCTGCTAAATATGAATGTCATGTCCCCAATAGCCTAAATGTAGGTCAATAGACGGGGTACAAGGGTAATGGACATTTAAAAAAAACAAAACAATTCAAGTAGAATACAAGGAAAACTCAATGAAAAGCACATTAATTCCAAAGAGTAAGAGTACAGAGAAAATAGTACATCAAATAAAAAGATTTAACTGATGAAAATCAGTAAAAAAAAAAAATATTACACAGGATCCTCACATACGCATCATAATATTCTGTTAACCCACACTGATGTAAATACAAGTTACACTTGAGACCCTGTGAAGCTATCAACAAAAAGCTGCACCATAAGAAAATCTAGACATACATTTTTTTAGGTCAATGTGCAGTAAGTATGACGCACAGGTAGGACCACAGTTTCACACGGTGACATGACAGATTGTTTCTGTGTTGCTAAAAGAAATGAATTAATGGACACTTTTAAGGGTGTTCAATTATTGTGCTGATTTATGCATTAATGATGCATTAATATGTAGGCAGCATGTTAATGTAGCACCGTAGCAGGTTTAGGTGGAGCTCATTTGATCTACTTTATACATTTTTAAGTAGTTTAATCTGATCATCTGTTCTGTATGGAAAGACCTCTTCCACAATAACTAGTAACTACAGTTGTCAGATAAACATAGTGGAGTAAATGTGCTTAATTTTTACTGTTTACTTCCACCACTGGAGCCAGGAGAGATGTCTCAGAAATCCTCGACTTGCAGTGAAAGTGATAGCTGCGGACGCCTCCCACAGAGCCTCACTCCTGCTGTGTGATGACAAGCGTGGTGGAAAGGGTCAAGAGGCTACGCTGCAGGGTTTGGGTCAGTTATATTGTAAGAAAGTGTAGGAAGTACATTTTTATCAAGACAATGCCCGCGTTTCCCTTTTTATTTCCAGAGTTTGGTTGCTGGAATGGCTGAAATCTTACTGAAGGATTTCATTTTACGATAATCTGAACCAGGCTCATTCACATGATTTACTATCCTCTGTTCATTTTCTGATCTATTGTGTAAGTCTTGGCAGGGTTTGTGTGAGTTTTATCATCCTGGTTGTTTTCCGTATTTGCTTTTCTTCGAGTTTTTTTTTTTTTTTTTTTTTTTAGAAGTAAGTCCTTACAAATACATGCTATTTTGTTTTCTGTTTTGTTGAAACAAAGCCAGACATCACACCAATAAAATAAAATCAAGCTCACAGGCTGAGATGAAATGAAAAAGCAATGAAAGGGTTTTCTGGTTTTAAGTTGTAACACAGGAGGGTGGAGGCGGGGACGGGGTCTGCTAGTGATCCAGACTTGGGCTGTAATGGCCTGTAAGATGTTTTTGTTAAATCCAGAGACGACTTTGATAAATTTTCTCCCAAACGTGCCATATCGCTTTCATTCTGATTAAATTCCTGTCCTCGGGGGAATCGTGCTTCACTGCCCAGTCTGTGTTATCTCCGTATAATAGTGAGGCCTATTTTTGCTTTTCTGACATTTCATCCCCTTTGAAGTCACTTCATCTTTGTCTACACACACTCAGACCTGCTCAGTCGGTTATTCATAAGCCCCGTCTCCAAACAGAACTGGACTCTCAGTGCAGCTCAGGACGACTGTGGCGGCTGTCCTTGTTGAAGAGTTGCTTTGTTTCACTTCAAAGACCAAATGGTAAATTACAGCCTCTTAAGTCTTGACAACAGCTTCTTCCTCTTATTATGAGAGGACCCTCCATGGATTGTGTAGCCTGTCGGGATTATAGCAGCCAGTGTTCCTCCTTCAGTTAATGCTTCCTCCTGAGTGTTGTCCTCAACCTCATTTTCTCTTTCACTCTGTCTTATTAGCCTCTATCTTTCTTTATATGCCCCGAGGATGTAGTGTACCTATCAGTCTGTTTACACAAACTCTCAGTTGTTGTGGTGCAGCACTCCAGCACTGTGATATTGCCGTCATGCAGACAGGACACTTATGTAGAACTTAAAAAATAAGTTGATCGACAAAAAATTAATCATGATTACTATTTTGATACTTGACCAGTGTAAGGCATTTCTTTCTTGTTCCGGCCTCTGGACTGTGAGGATTTGTTTTTCTTTTTCTTATGTGATAGTAAATGTATAAATTTAGGGTTTTGGACTGTTTTGAAGATGTCACTTAGGATTCTGGGAAACTGTGGAGGGAATATTTCACTACTTTCTGACATTTTATAGGCAACAATCAAGAAAATAATCAGCAGATTGATACTGATAATGAAAATAATCAGTATTTGTAGTCCTACACTCCAATACCATCCCTCATTGACACAGATTTAATCCAAATCCCTCGCTTGATTCTCTAATTCCCTTCTTTCTTTCATTTTCTTCCCATCCCTCTGCTCCCCCTCTTCCTCTCCATCTGTCTCTCGTCACTCCTCGCAGTATGTGGTTGGAGCCACGGGCGTTGTAGAATGAAGAGCCCGGCGCACCGCACCAGGGACATCGAGCGGCAAGCTGGCTACCTGAGGCCCGAGCACTGCGCCCCTCCCCCGCCCCGCACCAGCTCCGACACCATGTGGTTCATCCGCGACGGCTGCGGCATCGTGTGCGGCGTCATCACCTGGCTCCTGGTCTTCTATGCTGAGTTTGTGGTGGTGTTCGTCATGCTGCTTCCCGCCAAGAACGTGGCCTATAGCCTCTTCAACGGGGTGCTCTTCAATGGCTTGGCCTTCCTCGCCCTCGCCTCTCACGCCAAGGCAATGTGCACAGACCCGGTCAGTCAGACTGATACTCTGATCATTGGTTTGCGTGTGTCGGCTTTTTTGTTTAACACTTTCTCCTAGTGCTCTGCAGAACACTGTCAGTTAGTTTATAAGAAAAAGACTGATTAATCGATAAGTAGATTGACAGCAAAATAATCCGCAACCATTTTTATTATCGATGAATCGACATTTTTCAAGCAAAAATGTGAAAAATTGTGATAGTGAATTGAAAATCTTTGGTTTTGATGGTTGGTTGGACGTTAGCCGGCAGATCAGTCAATAATGAAAACTATTATTTTTCAAAAAAAGTTTTTTTTTTTCATCAAGAAAAAAACTTTTCCTGATATGAGATTTGCTGTTTTTTTAAACCGAATGTTTTGGTATTTGAAGTGTTCCTCTGACAATGCACATAATTTGATGACATCACCTTTGGCTTTTGGAGACTGATTCATTAATTAATTAGGAAAATAATATGCATATTAATTGATAATAAAACAATCTAGCAACTAGTAAAACTAGCTACAACATAGTTGTAGCCCCAATATATGAGCTGTATAACATCTTTGTACAAACTGTCTCTAAATAATAAAACATGCAACCCAAGACAAAATTTTAGATAAAAATGTTTTGTAGCTTTTCCAACTGCGTTTTATTAGTGACACAGATTTACTCCTGAATTATTGTACAGGTTCATTGTTCTTGTCAAATGATTTTCAGATTTTTCTTTGAGTTTGAATTTCTTGCTGTTAGGGCAAATTTCAATCATAAAAGAACTCCTGCAGCTAAATTAATACAAAGGAAATGCACCTGATGACATCTGACATAATAGAAACTACAACTACTTTGCGCGTTGTCAACACGTCTTTTCTCCCCTCTCTCCCAGGGAGCCGTGCCTAAAGGGAACGCTACCAAAGAATTCATCGAAAGCCTGCAGCTCAAACCAGGACAGGTGGTGTACAAATGTCCCAAGTGCTGCAGCATCAAGCCTGACAGAGCTCACCACTGCAGGTACAGCACTCACTGTGTGAATGTGTGTGCAGACCGTAGGAAATTTTTTGCCAGTTTTCATTGCAAACTCTGCACCTTTTTAAGATGTGGGTCTGGGCAGGTAGAGTGTTCTGCTGGAGTCTGCACCTCACAGAGGAGAGTCTTGGTGTGACGCTCCCACTGGGGACTCCTCTCCTCATTTGTGTTTGTTCCTGCACCGGCTCTCCTGCCCCCATCCCCCATGTGTGTTTAGTAGCTGTGTAGCATTTCCCTGTAGACTCTGCAGCTTGATAATGAGGAATTCCCGCTGCGACTGCTCAACCGGTTTCCTGGGATCTGAAGGCACGAAAAGTGCAAAAACACTACAAAGTAATTGAATTGTAAAGCCAGTGAGTGACTCTGTGGCAGTGACATAAATGGGTGTTAGTTTGAATGAAGTAGATGATTTTCTTTGTTTGTTTAACATCATGAGTCGTCCTTCTAGGTGGTTCAGATCATACATTTGTCTCTAATGACCCATAATAATAATAATATATCACACACTGGGTGGCAGCTTTTGAAATATACATATCCCTCAGAAAAACAAAGCACACAGGCATATTGATTGTGACTTTCTGCTTTGTCAGATGATAGATTATGAGTTGTCAGGCTTTGCCTGTCAAATAGATAAACCCCACACACACTCCATAAACACATATAGACAGACTCCAGCCACCATAATTGAGAGCAGTCTGGCTTTGACAACTGTCCCAGTCTCACATCGGTCAGTGTCAACACATTAGGCCACTAAAGACGGACTGAGTGCGTGTCTTTCTGTGATTCACTCTTTTAAAAGTTACATATATTCTACATTCAGATTGGTCACTGATTTCCCCTCTTTTTTTTTCATTCCATTTTGTCATCTTTATTATGTATCTGTGTGTCCACAGTGTGTGTAAACGCTGCATCAAAAAGATGGACCACCACTGTCCCTGGGTGAACAACTGTGTCGGAGAGAACAACCAGAAATACTTTGTGCTCTTCACAGTGAGTCTTTAACCTCCACTCATCAAAACAGTGTCTTCAGAAGGATCAGTCTCACATTATCTAAATATTATATAAAAGGAAAAAGGAAACCCTGTCTTTCAAATTAATATATAAATCACCAGACATTCAGACTGTAAAGTGAAGACAGTGTAATTCAAAGAGGGGTTCCAAATTTTTCTAAAACACTGATGGTTTGTCATCGAGCTTGTGGATCATGGCTTCCAGGGGAGTTAACATTATCTTGGTAACATTAAATCTTTGTTTTGTGTTTCAGATGTACATTGCACTAATATCCTTCCATGCACTCATCATGGTGGCTTTCCATTTTGTGCTCTGCTTTGAAGAAGACTGGACAAGTGAGTAATGCAGTGTCGTAGTGGCTGCTAAATTTCCAAATTCACCAGCGACTCTGCTGTTTTCCCACTATTCAACTTTATGTGCAAATACAGTTGATTATACCCACCAAAGACTGGTTGGGGTAGATATTCTTTTACACAACTAACAATCTTCATCTTTTAAAAATGGAAACTCTTTCTTCTCTTCTTTATCAGAATGCAGTAACTTCTCTCCACCAGCAACCGTCATCCTCCTCATCCTCCTCTGCTTCGAGGGTCTTCTCTTCTTGATTTTCACTGCAGTCATGTTTGGGACTCAGGTTCACTCCATCTGCACCGACGAGACGGTGAGTGAAACGGCAGTAGTTTCACTTCCTCATCACTCTGCTATGAACCTCCTGAAAATGAATTTTGGGCTGATGGTTGAGTTCACACAGCCAAGTGTGTTAAAAGTTGTGAGGAGGTTCTTTATCTAAAGGATTGCATCCCAACATTACACAAGAGCAAAAATGTTCATCTGAACTTTTCCTGAACATGTTTAGGAAGCCAATGTGTAAACATGGTTTTAAAATACATTATTGCATTTGTTTTTTGTTTTGTTTTTGAGCAAATTGTACTTACAGCTATATTGAGAACACAACCAGTCGCAATCACACGCAACACAATCGAAAGCATTTTGTCCAATAATCAGAGAATTAGGGAGCATGTGTTAGCGATGTGCAGCTGAACATGATTAGAGAACATTTTTGTGAATTTAGCATCAAAAACAACCCGGGAACTCCAGCAAACATTTGAAGATAACAAAACTGGATGAACAATTTCTTTTATCGCATTATAATTATTGGGCAGGCATTTGTCCTAAGCAGTTTACATTATTACATTATTGCATTCAACCTCCATTAAAACAAGAGTTCATTGCAAAAACTCTTAAAAGAGGGATTGCAAAAGCTGAGATAATCTTGGACACGTTTTCTTAGACATTATTCCACAAGAAGCTGCACTTTATGTAATTTTAGAAATGAGACAAAGGTTGTTTGATGTTATGCAGAACAGTCTGGCTTCAAGTGGGTTTACACCATTTAAAAAAAAAAAAAACACCATAGCAGTTAAATAAAAAAAACAAACAAAAAAAAACATTAATTCGGGTTGACCTGACAACACTTGTGTTATATTACAGCAAAGGCTCCTTGAGCAGCCACTTTGTCAGAAATACAGCAGAGGGGCAACTAGTGTATCTGTTTACAGTGCAGCCAAACAAACTTGTTGTTTTAATGAAGAAATCAGTCAGTAATAATTGCAGTCATTAACAATTGCTACAGTGAACTGATTTCATGCTGCATGCAGTGCGAGTAATTTCTCACACAGCAGGAGGACCTCATAAGGTGTATTACCTTGCTGAGAAGTTGGTGTGCAGCCTGTTACCTACAGCTCTTCATCTAGCAGCTCACTGTGGTTCCTTTGTGTTCCAGTACTCATTTCACTTGGAAAAATTATCTTTTTAAAAATAGATAAAAACACAGAAAATTACAATGTCTTGTTTTGTAGGCACATTTGAGATGAACAGTTGTGGTCGGTGTTTCTTGTGTTTCCTCCACTAACAATCAAAGCGACAATATAGAAAGGTAGTCACTGAATATAAATGCATTGAATGCCTATTGCCTTTTGATCTCATCCCCTCTTCCTAAATTTCTTGTCATCTCTCTACTGTTGTTCCTCTAATAAAAGCATGAAATGCACAAAAAACACTTCTAAAAAAAGCAATTCATAACACTATGATGAGTAATGCCATATTTAAGTTACAAGGAAAAAGAGAAATACTACAGGATCAGTGATAGAGTTTGGTCAACCAGGCACATGTGTAGGCCTTTTAACTGAAGAACAGTTTGCAGAGGAGCTGATGTCAGTTCTGACATCCTGCAATAAGTCCTAATGATGAAGGTTAAGGGTTCTTACAGGATTCATACAGTTTGTTGTTCACAGAATCAGAGCACAGATGTAAATATAAGAATTCACTCACAGCCTCCAGGCAGGTGGAGATTACTGCATCTTCTCATATTGTATCTTCTCAAACCACCCACGACGATGACTCACAGTGTCATGATATTCACTAGAAAGATCATCTATTTCGGTCACTTTCAGTCTAATGGAGTCTGCAGTGCTCTGCTGGCGTGCGTGCGTGCGTGCGTGCGTGCGTGCGTGTGTGTGTGTGCGTGCTGTTCTTACACATCAGGAAATACTGGGAGTGAGTCACCTCACCCTTATTAGGACAAAAGAAAAGAAATGCTTCAACATGTTTCATTTTTAATCCCTTTTTTTAGTGATTATTTTCTGTTGGTACATTAAATTTTAAAGACACAGCTTTATCTTCAAAGCTGACACAGTTAATGTTTTGCAACAGCTTTGAATGTGAGTCAGTACTGGAGAATTATATCTTCTCCTGTCTGTCATATCTTACTCCTGCAGGGTATTGAGCAGCTGAAAAAGGAGGAGCGAAGATGGGCCAAAAAGTCTAAATGGATGAATATGAAAGTGGTGTTTGGCCATCCGTTCTCTGTAGCCTGGCTGAGCCCGTTTGCAACACCCGATCACGGCAAGGCGGACGTGTACCAGTACATAGTGTGAAAGCTGGTAACTAAGCTGAGCTCTGCTGCTGTGGACTAAGACTGATCAGTCCTGGTCCGCCTGTTGGCTGGACCTCAATGAGCATGAACTCCTCTCATCCACTTATATACTGTCTTTCATTTCTGGATATTTCTTTTAATTTCATTTCAGGGTATTCAGTTGTAAGCCATTGCAGTTTTTTTTTTTTTTTTTTTTTTAAACTTGTCACCTTCTTTACATTTTATAGTTTCCCTCTTGGTGCTGACTGAGATTAATGAGGTGTAGCTGTACCAAAAAAAAAAAAACCCCAACCATCTCAGACTACGCAGCGACAACTTGGCAAGAAGCACTTAAAGAGTTGGTGAAACGACACCAAGAGACTGAGTTCTGCCTCCTCCGGACTGAAGTTTCCTGCATCATTTCCTGTTTCCGATACTAGACAATGTGAACTGAAGTATACTGAATATTTTTCTCTCCAAGCAGCACGGTCCAGGTTCCAAGATGATCACCTGGTGTTGTCATCCTGTAAACATCGTTGTGGTCCTCCTGTCACCTCTTGTTTTCCTGTATTTCTGTCGATGCAATAGTCTTTTGCCGGATGCTGCGGATGATTTGCCTTAGGACAGCACGTTAGTGAACAGTGGCATCTGCTATTTAAAAAAAAAAAAAAAAAAAATTCTATTATTTTTGCCTTAATGTTGACAGTCGGGGTGAGACAGGATCACACTGGTTGATAGCATTTTAAATGAGTTTTTTGTATCTTTCTTTGATGCCAGATGAGTGGATTTGTTCAGGTCAAGTAAGAAATGTTTTTTGAGAGTAAAATTTATCAAGTTTTCTTTTGATTTACATTGACTTTTTGTCTGCACTCAACTCCACCTATCTGGTACTCCAAGAAAGTTAGAGCAAAGGCTGTGTGATAGAGAGCAGCATTAGCCTCACAGCGGCCAGTTAAAGTTATAATCCTTGATTCAGTCCCAGTTGATTCGGTTACACCTGTGGTTTAATATTTCAACAAACACTCGATGAGCAGCTGTACAATAGAACTGGTTTATTTTATTTATTTTTTTTACAGTGCAGCCAAACAAACTCATGCTGTTTTTAATAAAGCGGTCAGTCACTAAGTAATTTGTAATTTTATATGAAGCCATAAGCAGTGACGATCTGATTTCATTCTGTACATAATGTGAGTAGTTTCCCCACACAGCAGCTGGGTGCTGGGTGACATGCTTGGCTCATTTTCTGTGAATCCTGCATGTGTGTGAAGGCAATTTGAATCCAGGGCGGGAATGATGGACTCCACCACTAATGATGAAAACTGTAAATACAATGAATGGCTGTTACTGAAATAATGCAGAAAACAAATAGTATCAAAATTTACTATTTATTTAATTTATGGCAATCTTAAGGATTATAACTTTAAAATCTTGGCAGGTGAAGAAAGTCTTTAGAATCCACCGGGCAGTGACCGGTGTCCTTTTTGATTATTTGACAAGTGTGTGCAGTAAATGTGGATGACCTCTCTGCTTGATGACCATCACAGTCACTGGCTCAGATGGAAAGTCAGGGAATTAAGCAATACGCATTGCTCTCTGAGTGCACTGACCCTAAGTGTAATTCGCTCACTTTCAATTGATGGAATTCACTTCTGGATAATCCAGTTTGTCATAGATTGTAGTTGTGAGCCTGACTGGAGGGAAAAAAAGCCTTACAGGATAAAGTGTTGGTTAAAATTTAGGCCATTGGAAAATGTTCACTGAGGCCCGAAAGGCCACGCTAGAAATGCACATTTTAACGGTCACAGCCGTGGACAATGCCAGGCCAACCAGTGTGAACACTAGATTTTACATTTGCTGGTAAGATTTTGGTGCAGATGGGAAACAGGCCACTTCAGAGCATTTAACACTAAAAAGGCCTTTGTTCAAATGTTTTTGAAAGCCTTACTGTTGTATAAATCATACTTTTGAAGATGAAAGGAATTATTAGAACATACCCTACATGTTGCCAAATTGAATGCTTAATGAACGGAGGCAGTGAAGTAACCAGTTCAAGTGTTGAGCATTGTCAGGAATTAAATTTTCTTAGGCTTTTAAAATCACTGGAGTTTTTAAAAAGTGTAAAAATGTTACGTTAATGTGGAGATGCAACAGTTGCTATCCAGTTTACACATACAGGACACCAGCTTTCTTATTTTTCTTGAATTGTTCGATATGTTCTGTGTGGTCGGGTATGAAAACTATTTGCAGTACTTACTGTGGACCACAAGTTTTTTTTTTTCTTTTTGACTGTGGTATTTGTTTAAAGGGGAATGAAATAAAACTATATATGTGACAACTTTGTGTTCTACTGGTATTTTATTGACTCTGTTTATCAGTTTGCTATATTTTTTTTTCTTACTTGAATACACATTTTAAATTCAGGAATGCATTTGATGCTAGTGTTCACATTACAACAAAAAACAAACCATTATTAAACATCTCTGAAATGAAATGAAAGTACATATTTCTTGAGGTAAAATGTTTAAATTAATTAAATTTAAATATTTAAAAGTACGGTGGCAAAAGTTTGACAGTAAAACTATAATTTCCGATAAATTATTCTACAATAAAATGTAGGTATAAGTAAGCATGACTGAAACAACGATCTTGTTTGTCAGCTGAGATGTTTATTTAATAATTTAAGTGTTTCCTCTCAGTGGAGATGACAATTTACACACCATTTTAAGTGTTTCCTATTAACAGAATATATTTACACTTTTACAAACAATTGTCTCACATACTCTGTAAAACACATTATGGTTTATACCTCTTATCACACCGTCTTGATTTGTGTTATAAATTGAACTTAAAAGTTAAATTTGTCAGTGCAGCAGCCTCCAGATTAAAAATGAGGACTGATCTGCATGGACCTAAGGTTAAAGAGTGCCAATAAACTAAAAACAAAATCAGTCTCTTTTCCATTATTCTGGAGCTTCTCGTACTTAATATTTCAAAGATTAAGCTTGAACAAGCTTGGTCCCCTCTAAGAAGCTCTGGTGTCAACAGAACACCTTCAGATTGCTAAAATCTTTGTTGATTCAATGATTACTGATAAACTCTCTCTTACTTCCTTCAGTGCACCACACTCACTCATCAACGTGACACACACCTTGTCAGGTCAGGGTAATATTTCAGTATTTTTCTAATCTCTCTGTACAACCACATCTACAGTTTATGTGCACATGGATATAAATACATCACACTCAGGGCCATGCCACTGTCACAGAGCTAGAAATGTGGCTACTGCAAAGCTCTGATTGGTTATATTACAGTGAGAGTGGGTTCACAGGTAGGTGGTTTACCCTCATATCATGCCGTTAACTGGAGAAACGCCAGGCACCGAGATATTTTCAGAATAAAAGCAAAGGTTACATATATTAAAGGTATGTCAAAAGAATGGTTTGACATTTGGGGGGAATATTCTTATTCACTTCCTCGCCAGTAATTAGATGAGAAGCTTAATACCACTCTCATGTTTGTAATGTAAATATGTAGCAGGAGCCAGAAGTCAGTTAGCTTAGTTTAAAAGGCTTGAAACAGCTTACCTGACTCTGTCCAGAGGGAACAACAAAATCCAAACACCTCTTAAGCTCACTGATTAACGTGGTTGTTAATCTGCTGGAAGTCACTGCTCCAAGAAATACTCTGGCACATAAACCAGAAATTGTTTACACTTTCATTTTTGTACTGTTTAAACAAGAGATATAATGTGTTAATGGGCTTTAGAGGTGGATCGTGTCACCTTCGGAAAGAGGCAGGCCCGGTGCTTCCACCTCTTTCCTGTCTTGATGCTAAGCTAAGCTAACTGGCTGCTAGCTTTCACATCAATCGGACAGACATGGGAGTGCTGTCGATTTTTTTAATCTGACATTTGGCAGGAAAGCTAGTAAGTGTTCTTTTTCCCCCCAATTGTCCAAGTACTCCTTTAATTAACACAACACACTCAGGATCCCAAAACGTGGAGGCACAAACAACTGAAGTCGCTTCTCGTGTGTGGCTGTGAGTGATCTCCACTGCTGAAAAAAATCCTGCATGGTGAGTACGGCCCTGCTATGAAACGTCACTTAGCCGGCCTTTAATATGAGAGCTGCGCAGTTACATTGTCTCTGCAGTCACATTAATAGGGATGCGTGTAAATCACATGATACAAATCCTGCACAGCAGCAGTTGGAAGGACATCTGATATATTTGTGCGTTGCTGCTGTGGGATGTTACAGACGGGTATCGTAGCTACCGTTATGCATTTAGATTATGATATGTATCCAAACAACAGCAAAGTGTGATTTTAAAACACCATTCAGTGAAGGAGCCTTTGACGTCACGTTCAGGCCTGTGTACTACCGTTTACTTATTCAGCTGATTTATGCTAACAGAAACATCCCTCTAGTAGCATGTATTGCCATTTTCTATGCTCAATTATTAATGCTCAAAGCTCCCTCGCTATCGCACACATCACAGTGTCATGAGATTTAAAGGACGTATAATGTTATTGCATTCTCGCTGACAACTCCAGGGATGCAGAGGGAAGCTTTTAATGGAACCAGGTGTCTATTAAACCCAGAGAGATGACGGGTGATGGATTGATATTCGTGACGTGCAACAGAATAATATGAGATTGCAAACGCAGGGCACATAAAGCTCAACAGGCAATCAAAAAGGCCGTGTGATGTCTCTGAACCTGGAGAGACAGTTCGGACGCCTAAGTCACAAGTTTAATAAAATGAAGCAGCTCACGGAGACGTCACTCAAGTCGAGAGAAATGACGCTCCAGGATGCTTTGGTGTGATTTATCTGAGTTCAGGCCTCGGTAGGAACATGCACACGTCTGTCATGAAATGGAAGACCAGCTGCCTCTGAATCGAAACATGTGTCATGCTCGTATCTTGAGGTTAAGGTTCAAGCTGTCAGGAAAGGCAAAGAAAAAGTAAAAGAAAGACCCTGGCAGAGGGCAAAATCACACCAGGGATAAGCCTTTCAGTGCTACATTAGCAGGATTATTACTTGTGAAAGTACACCTCGTTAGCTTCGTTTATCACGTTGCCTTGAGCATGCATAAAATGGAAAGTCAGTGTAAGATGTTTACAGTGAGTGTCATAGTGACTTAAGGAAATGTGAGAATTAAGAAAGCTTTGGTGGTCTCACGGCTGCAATACACAACGCACAGGCTGATAGATGGTAACATCTTGTACACGGTTAACAATGCTGTTTATCCATAACTCGTGAACACACAGGTCCTTAAAATTATATTCATGCTGTGTGTTATTTTCCTCTTCCTTTATAAGAATAGTTTGACACTTGACATACCCTCATTAGCTTTCTTGCCGAGAGTTAGATGATAGGATCAGTACCAGTCTCCTGTCAACGAATGTCAAACTACAGCCAAGAAAGGGTTAACTGAAGGTGCTTTTTGACTAATGGTTGAACGAAACAAGACATTTCAATATGTTAATGTTGTTTTTCACTATTTTCTACAACAATCAATTGATTATTTAAGAAACTGTCAGACGTATCGATCATGAAAACAACTGTTGGTTACAGCCTTACAGCCTTTCTGCCATGATGGATTAATACGACCTTTCCCAGGTTTCCTGTGTGATGTTTACTTGACACACAGAAAAAGCATTTTGCAGTGAAAATGACACAGAACTTTTGCTGCCTAGGTAAAGTTCCTGGAACTTTTGTTGGAAAAGCACCTTAAGATAACCCTCTCTTCATATTCAGCATTCAGACTTGACAGTGGCATCAGTTTTCTCATCTAACTCCTGGCAAGAAGTTGAATAAGCACATTTCAGAAAATGTCAAACTATTTCTTTTAGTCTCCTCACTTCCGTCACATTTGCCCTGTTATAGCTCACCATGGTTTTAAAATGGTTTTCAAAAAGTAACGTAAAGCTAGTATTGTTTTTGCTTCGTTGTAAGCCTGTGGATAGAGATGATTTTACAGCTTCTGGAGAAACTGGACGCAGGCTTCCATTAGCTTGTCTCCACCAGTCCAACTGGAGCAGCACCACAGCCAGACTGGCTGAGAGCCAGCATCTCCTCTGATTTCAGAACCAGCAGGGTTTCACAGCCTGCACGGCCAAAAACTGAAGGATAAAAAGTCAGTAATTCAAAATAAGGGCACAATTTAAGTGGTATTTAGTTAAACTGTTTACGAAAATACACGATTGGAAGGTTAACAACAGATTTCTTCTTGCTCTTTCACTGTATAGCAGTAAGTTATTGTTACAATGAGTACATGTTAAGTACACGTATTTGAGTTAAAGAACAAAATACGCTAAACACAACTGCTGTTTTCAGATTTCATTACACTTTGGCTCGATGTTAAAATCAGAGGAGTTGCCAACCAAAGCATACAACATACCACAGCCAGCTGGAGCCAGGCTGAGCTGAACTAGTGGAGACCAGCCATATTATTCATCCTTCTTGGCGACGGCACTGTGTTGTCCATCCTGTGGCGAAACCCTCTGCAGTACCAACAGACCAGAGAAGGTCAGAGAAATCCCAACCCACCACAATGTTATCTGGGCTTCACCAAAGATCAGCTGGCCTAGGAAAGCCTGCAGACGAGAAAAAAATCAGGGTGTCCTTAGTCAAAGTAAATTAGTCTCCACAATTCTATTTAAATTATGATGGAATATGTCAAAGAAGAAGCTGAACTTTGAAAAGAAATTCCTGTAAGACACCTAAATCACTGCGACAAGCTATTTCTGAATGTAGTCCAGCCTACTTTCTAAAATAAAGCAGCTTACATAAGGAAGAAAGGATGTAATGTCCTTCAAACATTATGGTAACATACATGCCACCACAATCTGATGTGAACTATTTGGCTTTTGTAGAAAAACTACAAAGAAAAGACAAGAAGCGTGGATGAGAGAGGCTGCTACTTACGGAAGATATGAAGTTGGAGGCGGTGGTGGTCACAGTGGTTCGGGTGGAGGAAGAGGAATACCTGAGTGCTTTGGCGAGGAAGGTCCACATCACAGCGTTGCAGGTGAAAAGGAGTCCGCCACACAGCAGCCTCAGAGGGATATGGAGCTGGAAAATATAAACAGAAACTTAGACAACACGCTTTTTCTGTGTAGTGCATATTCAAAATATTTTTGTTTTGCAGTATTTAATTAGCTGATAAGCAAAAATATCAGAAATTCAAATTGGCACCAGCTTCTCAAGTGTGAATATTTGTCAGTTTTCTCTGTTTTCTACGACAGTGAACTCAACATCTTTTAGATTTCTCTAAACAAAACAAGGAAATTTGAATATATTGTAATAACAATAACAATAACAATAACAATAATACTTTATTTGTATGGCACCTTTCCTACAAAACATGCAGCTCAAAGTGTGTGAAAAAAGTAAAGTAAAAGTAAATTAAAAAGCAAGCAGGTAAAGATAAAAGTGCCATAAAATCAATCCATAAGACAACATTTAAAAACTTAATGTTATGTTAATATTTCATTTCTTACTACTTTCTGACATTTTCTGCACTGAACAATCAATTGATTATTAAAAGAAGTAACTATTAGGTGTATTGGTGATGAAAATAATTGTTGTTTGCAGCTTTACACTTCTCCTATGATGAATGATCCTCAGCTTTTCTGTGTTAAATGCTTGACACAGAAAAAAAATGTAAGCAAATTGATAAAACACTACATTACAATCAATGAGCTCAAGAATGAAAACAGTCAAGGTCTTAAAACTAAATTCTGACAGTCCCTCTGCAAGGCAAGGACGACTCTTTGTGGTTGATATTGTACTTTGGTGAAGTTTCTAACAAATCTATCTGCCATTGATCAGATTATGTTGACAGAAATGGTGTGGAGTAAACCTGGGAAGCCGGTTGCCTAGTTTCCCCAGCTGGTAACTCAGCCTTGCTCGTATGATGCATTCAAATCTCTTGGTGCATATCTAGAGCATTTGTTTTGCAAACCTGCCCACCTGATTTGCTATTTATGTTAGAGGTCACTGTTGTGACGTATCCACTGTTTAAGGCTCTTCCCGGCAGCCTGCAGAGGTTTCTGACATCACTGTGCGCGCGGAGTGTGAAGGTCATACATGAAACCTGACCCCCTTTAGAAGCCACAAGCCACCAGCTCAAACACGCTGATAGGATGCGAGTTCTAAAACAACGCGATAACACGCACATCACACTCATAGGAGCTGCAATGTCATGCAGCACGCGGACACGGCACGAGAGCGCAGCTGCTGCATGGGCTCCCCCCCCCCCGCGTGATGCTGCCGATGGTGCTGATGCTGATGCTGAGGGATGAGGGAGTCGGGGAGGAGAGAACTTCCTCCGTGAGAAATCACCCCGCTCGCAGGCATTTGCCTCGGCGCTGCATTATTCACACACGTCCTCGCCACGTTAATAATTCACTGAAACTGCGTTGATGCCTCACCCGGTCACAGGTGGTAGTTTCGTCCGCTTGTCTGAATTTCCGCTGCTCTCCCCACGTCCGGAGTCCGGTTTCACAGACTCCCTTCAGGTAGTCGGCTCCGAGGGACAGCTTGGCCGACGACGACGCCACGGCCCCGAGGAAACCCGCCAGCAGTGCATAGAAAACTCCCGGGAACATGTTGATGATGGCAGCCGAGGCACATAATTTTCTAATCCATCTTCACATTTCTGCTGCTGCTGCCGCCGCTGCTGGTCCGGATTGAGCTGCCTGCATGGCTGTGTGTGTTTGTATGTGTGTGTGTGTGTCTCACCGAGCAAGTTCTCCTGCACTTTCTACCGACAGCCGTCCGGTGGCAGTCACACAACACATGGTCAACCCAGGGCAGTGCAGTAGTTGGACTAAAAAGCTCATATGGCATTCTGGGAATTGTAGTTCCACCATTTTATAATATTTACTGAATGAAAAATTACTTGGAAGCAGCAATATGATGTATCCAAACATGCTGGAATCACTAAAGGCTAATAAGAACAAGAACAATAACACATCTGTCTATTATAAGATTTTCAATGCAGCACTGACTTGTAATGGAGTGTTTTTTACAGTGCAGTATTGCTACGTTTACTTGCATATTATTGAATATTTTTTTCACCATAAATAGTAGTGAAATTAAATAAATTCCTTCTGAAATGTAGTGTAGTAGAAGTATAAAGTAACAAATACTCAAGTAGGGTACAGTACAAGTACAGCTGTCAACCTAGAGCAGTGCAGTAGTTGGACTAAAAAGCCTCTGTGGCATTCTGGGAATTGTAGTTTCATCATTTTATAACCTTGGCTGAATGAAGAATGATAAGAAAGTGTCTCCAACCATGCTGGAATCATAATAAATGACACAAATATCAGTATTATTAGGGGGAGCGTGAGCAGAGTTTGAAATGAAGTCCCCCTCTGTTCTTCTCTGCTGTTAATACTGTGTGTGGAAGAGGACAGTCAATGCTAATGTAATGTCCTTGAGTGTGGGTGGAGAGTAAGGTATGACATGATCCAGACTGCTTGAACCGCAGAGACAGACCTCTGTTCCCTTCAGCATACTGATGAGCTGCATTATAAAAAATCATTACATTATAACACAAAGAGTGTAAGTGGGATGTGTGAGTATGTGTGTGTGTGTAGGCAGTAGATAGTAACACACGTACTCCACATGTTATTCTTATTCCATCTCCTCTGTGCCCTTCATAGAGAGATGAGCCCGTCAGAGGAGGAACCAGAGCAAGACTGAATTAACCTCCTAATTAGAGAACAGAAAATGGAGTCATCGTCATGAATGTATGGGCCTGTAATCACTGTTTTAATCAGAGTGTCGCAACAAAGACAAGAGTCATCAGAGACAGATGTCTGTCTCTTCAGACTCGGCAGCAGAACATTTGGCTGTAGACAGAAAGTTGATCACGATATAATGATATCAGTGTTATTCATTTCTTTTAACGTGTATATTATAGTGACGAGTGTGTAGCATGGACCAGAACCACAAGCCACAGCATTTGTAATACATACAAAACACAAGCAGTGATACAATAGAATTACCATTAAACTCAATGACTGGAGGTCTTTGTAGAAAAAAGGAAAATAGTCCATATAATGCTGAATTCTGAGGAAACAAAACTAAAAAGAAACAGAAGATAAAAAGAGGGGCCTAACGTTTTATTTTATGCCTTCATATTACAAAAAATTTAGGGTGATATTTACTCCAAAAAATGTGTTTGCAAACAGACTATACTATATATAAATCATGCAGGTAACTCTCCACCTTTGAACTTACTAAAGGGAAACTGTTGTGAAAATGCAGTATCCATGAATAACTGTCTATTTGAAAACATTTGTTTTAGAAAATACATTTTATTTTGATAGGAGAAATTTAATATGTATCTGTTTGTCTTTCTACAACTGATTAATACAGTTTTTATATTTAAAATCACTTTGATAAATGAATCTACAAATTAATTGTATGTAAAGTATATTTGGATGCTAATACTTTTGTCCTTTTACTTGAATAAAATTTTGAATGCATGACTTACTTGTAACAGCGTTTCTCTACTGTGGTATTGCTATTTCTTCTTCAGTAAAAGATACAGGTATGAGTACGTCTTCCACTACTGATAGTAGCAGACGTTGCAAGTAACTTTAATGATGGCTCTGCTCTATTCAAATAGTGAGGCAGCATGCACAGCACCAAGACCCTGAAACTGAATCAGATAAATAGAATTGAAAACATTGTTATTTAATATTTACACCTGTTCTTTCCTGCTGTGACATGTGTCAAGTCTGGTCTATATTTTGGCTTTGTAGGGGGGCAGAATTCTCTGATTCCTCCTGGGAAAGACGACTTCATCAATATCTTCACCAGGTCAGATGTAAACCCGCAGATTTATTTCCTTGGCCAGCAGATGTCTCCAGTGTGCTTTAGAGGAATACATCCACATCCACCATGACCTGCTGTGGATGTAAATCTTTAGATTGCGACCTGTATACATTTATTTCTATGTTATGTGTGGTGGCAATAATTAGTTTGAAATACAGCTTGTTTTTCTCATTTATGTTTTGACGACTTGTTGCCACAACTCCATATTACCTTTCCATCTTGACACTTGTGTGCAATAAAAACTTAATTAGTCTATAAAGGAGCCATTATGGCATTGTTGCTGCTTTGCTTTGCACATATCAAGTTAAGTAATGAAGTGATTTTAACTAAGAGGTTGATCACAGTGCTTTGAGGAAATTAGGAAAGGTAATAAAACCTGTACATAACAATGTAGACCCAAAGCTTGTGTGTGTCATCTGTGCATGTGTGAGTGTTTCCCTGTTGTCTGTGGAAAAAGATATTAGTGTGATGACAGTGACAGTGACAGCGGCAGAAAAGTAGGAAGGTGTTGTTTCTGTCACAGTGTCTTCTGCTCTGATCTCACTGAAACGAGCTTCAGGGGGGACGACCGTCCTCGCTCTGTCACATTTTGACACCGTCAACTTTCTGGAGGGTCTGCTTTGCAGGAAAACTCTGAAATCAAGTGCAGCCGTTAGCCGGTATCTCCTCGCTCAGAGTTTCCAGCCTGAAGCTCCTCCAGCAAACACAAGTGTCAAGTTAGAGCGCTAATTGGGGTCTTTCTGCTCCTGTTCAATTGAGCGATAATTGAGCCCACCGAGAGCTTTAGCGACACTTTCACTGAAGGTCTGTCACTGCCTTCCTGTGTCTTTGACCACGTTTTGAGCTTATGGACCTGTAAGTTGATTTAATAGGGAGTAAGTATAAGGTTCATTAGTATAACGACTTTAACTATGACCTTTAACTCAGGTGTCAATTACTCGCAGACAAAAATAAATTTTAACGAATAAAAAGGAAAATTCACACTCTCAACTCTTTCCCTCGTGTTGGAGGCACCTTTTCCTCTCTGTTTTGCCTTTTCATGTGTTTCCATAGTCACATCTAAAGATTGGACCTCATCATTTCATCTCGAGATGTAGTGTACCACAGTTAACCACACACACTTTAACAAATGATTGAACTATTTAACTTTTCTTGGCTTGGAGCAGCTCAGGTTTTTGCTTGAGTGTATGTTGACATTTATTGTCTTCTGACAAAGTTGAACACAAGGTCACAAGGTTCTCTATTTTTAGCACACACACCAAACAACTACGCAACCATATAATAGATATGTATATATATAAAAAAAGAAAAATACCACAATGGTGCTGATCTTGAATGCACCTATGTTCAAAAGTAAATTTCAAACTCGTTGTTATTTTATGGCTTTGACTGGTCAGTGTTTCTCCTGCACTTTTATTTAGCGCAACTTATATTTGCATTGTATTTTTTGTTTATTTCTTATTTTATTTGTCTATTTATTTTATTGTTGGGATTTTTTTTTTTACCTTTTACAAAGCACTTTGAATTGCCTCTGTGTTTGAAATGTACTACAACAAAGGTGTATAGCCCAAGTCTTTTACAGCCTTTGCACTTAACCTTATGCTCAGTGCTTGTACAGGGTCGCTTTGTACTGAACTGAACGTAAAGCAGCTTGGACCAGCAACAGACTGAATTGAAGACAGTCTGAAGGTCAATACCGGGCTGTATGAACAGTGATGCATTCACTTACCTAGGCACTTGCTGAAGTGCTTTTAAACACTGATGTGTTGAGTTACTGTTGTACATACTGACGTGTGTCTGAACAGTGATGCACTCACTCAGGCCTGTTCAAGGACTGTCTCGCAGAAAAGATGAAAGTCAAGTTGAGCAGACGTACAGTATATAAGTCAAACCAACCAGTTAGTTCCTTTCATTTGAGTGTTTCTGACTGAAAAAAAACACATTGTTTGGAAACACTTCTGACAATGCATAAGTCTCTTCTTTTGTAGCTTGTACAAGTTTCTTTCCAAGTGTGCAATTGGATCTTTGTTCCCTTTTGTGGCCACTGCAGAAAAAAAAAAAAAAAACACTCACTACAACTGCAGTTCTCACTAACCTTCAAGTACCAGTTGAATGTTTTCAAAGGCAAAGCCAAGTGACAGTAAGATGAGAAGAAGTGTTTTTCAAACTGTACTTTTTTGCTTTTTACAAGAGAAATGATGAAGACTGACTGATTGACTTGGTAAATGTATCTCTGTTAAAGTGCACAGCTGCTTCCCTGATCTTTTCTGACTTACTGACAAATGTACTGAAGTGCATTTGACCAGTGATGCAACTGCGTAGAAAAAGTAAATGAGTTAAGTGATTCTTCATTTTCACTTCTAAGCTATACAAATGAACATGCCCTTGCTTTCTTTTAACTTAGTACTTTGCTGTAAGAAGATCTAAACATGAATATGTTCTATGTCATATAAGCAGCTGCTTTTATACTGTTGTGGATGTGGAGATCATAATTACTTTTGTGTTGATTTACTGGCCCTAATTATTTACCCTCTTTCTTTTGGAGAAAGAAGTGCTCTGACCTTCAGAGTGACGGCTGACTGAGGGTTCCCAATGCACAAAAAGGCAAACAAAGAAGTATGAATAGTAAAGCTTCCATATTCATGTCCAGCCATCATAGAGCCTCATTCTTTAACTGCCTCGATGAATATTCATGGCATCATCTTTCAGAACGAGGCAGTAAGCAGAGATGTACGGTCAAATATTCACTTACAGGCACACACCCTTGAACTATAATCCTTCACTTCACTCCTGCTCCCAGCTTCTCCCTCCTGTTTCTGTCCGTCTCGCACACACACACACACACACACATACTGTCTGCTG